AAACACAGCCTAAGAGATCCAAACACAGCCTGAGTGCCCAGCAAACATCCCCAATGAGGCCCAGGAGGAACAGGGGGTTGTTTTGTAACCCTGAACCTGCCCCCTCCCTCCACAAAACAGCCCAGGAGAGGAGCACAGCACTCACCATCATCCAGGTAYGCCTGGTCCAGGTTCTGCTCCTGCTTGATGGTCACTCCTGCTGGCAGCACGTCCTTCTGCTCAGTGCCTGGKGGCCCGTTCTTGGCTGCCCGCTGGCCCGGGGCCGCCTGCTGCTGGATGACCGTGGGGTAGGAGCCGGGGCTGAGCCTCTGTGCCTGGCCGGCCTGGGGCTGGCTGCCTCTGGCCACGCTGGCCGGGAAATTCTCACAGCACATGATGTGCTGGAACTCCTGGTGGCTGCCACACCTCAGCTGCTGGTTGGTTGGAGAATAGTGGATGACGGGGGATGGCTGCTGCTGGCCCGGAGAGTGGTGGAGCTGGCCCGGAGAGCCGGCGTGCACCAGCACCGACCTGTGCGCATCGGCCAYGGCCACCGGCGCGGCCAGCACGTTGGGCTGCTGGTAGCCCAGCTGGCTGGGGCTCAGGCTCTTGCTCCKTTGGTAAATCACAGCGGGGCTCTGCTGCTGGTAGCGCGAGTCRGGAGAGGCCAGGCCCGGGCGCAGCTGCTGGCACGGAGCCATGGTGGCCACCAGGCAGGAAGGAGCCTCGGTGGCCAGGGTGTGCTGTGGGTAGTAGGGCTGCGTTACAGTCCCCAGAGCACCGTGYACCGTGCTGCAGATTAGGGCTGGATCATAGTCATCAATGGGCTCTGTTTTGATGGATGGTACTAGAATAAAGCATGCAAAGCACATTATTCGTAACGAGCTGAGGAGAAACAGAGAGGTTTTCCTTGAAGCAACAAGAGAGTTAAGCCTTTTACAAGATTTGTCTGTGTAAATTCATGTCATAAGCACTGAGATTAACAAATCACCCAAATACAATCGTGGCAAAGATTCTCCAAAGCACTCGGTGCTAAGAGGYTCTTGAAAAATCTTTAAAGTACTAACAAACTACAAATTGCTGAAATTGAAAAATTAAACACTTCAGCTTGTATTTTGATTCATTCAAGGGCCATTCTGGAACAGACAAAATCAGAAGTCATAGACAGGTGTTTCATGCAGTACTTCCATCTCAAAGGAAGACTACATCAATAGAAATCCCAGGACATGAACATCATCTTTCTGTCAAACACTGAGTAGGGACCAAAGGCAGAGCTGAACTATTTCAGAGCTTTCATTTTTGATCCTCTGCTGCACAGTTTCCCCAGTGCTGAGCTGAAGACCTGTCTGACACCACCATTTAAAAGCCCATAATTAAGAACAGTAATGTGACTCTTGGTGGGGTAAAGGATGGTCCTCTACATTTCCAATGATTTATTTGTCAAACCTTCCCCAAAACTCACCACAGAAACAGYACACAATGGAAACCACAGAGTGGTCATGCAAAACTCCTTTTTGGAAGTACAGATTCCTTCTCCTAAGCGTTCTGTTTTAGGGATGGATTGAGATGGAGGTGTGCTTCTCAATATTACTCCAGAGCAGAACAATTCAACTACACAAAACCTTCACACTGTTGATACCCTACAGAGTTCATAAACTCAGGGAGAGAACCAGAGATTTTCAGGCTGGAGGAGACCAAAATAAGAGTCTCAACGAATTTTTGCCTGTCCTTAGAGACAAGWCAAATTAAGACATCATTTGAAGCTTGCACAAAATCTGGTGCTGTTATTTTATGCTTTCTGGTTTCCACAAACACAATACTCTGATTTTCTCACATATTTTTCTCTCAGCCAAAGCTGAGAAATTCTGGGAATCTCATTAATAATCCTGTTGCATTTATTGTGACATGGCTCACCAATCCCCAAGAGGGAGAACATCAGAAAAGCATTCATATTTTTCTCAACTAGCCTCATTTTGAAGAATATACATTGCTTGCCTTCCTCTGTCCCAAGCYCTTTCCCAGATCTGATGTTTTCTTACGGCTGGACAGGTCAGAGAAGGCAACACTCATGGCTTTGAGGGTCACATCATGTCCCAGACTGAGCCTGTTCCCACTGAGGCTCTTGGCAAACTTCCATCCAGGGAAGGGGCAGCATCAGCCCATTGCCAAGACAGCTGAGATCAGCATCACCTCAAACTTATGACTCCTGATCACAAACCACAGGCGTCCTTTGAACCACGCACTTGTTGAGTGGTTAAWTAAATTAAATCAGCAGCACTCAGACCCTCAAAGGCTGGGGTTGAGGAGAAACCCTACAGGATGAGCTCCTGTCAGATCCTGTTCACCCCTGTTCAATCTCATCGGGTGGGAAAGGGTTGAAGCTGCAGGTAACGTGACAATGTGACCATGTGACAGTGTGACAATGTCACAATGTGACCATGTGGCAAGGTGACAATGTGACAATGTGACAAAGTGACAATGTGACAAAGTGACAAGGTCCTGCCCCATGTGTTGAGCTGTGATTGGTCAAACAGAGCCCACAGACCCTGCCTACCCAGCAATGTGATTGGATAAGAATGTTCATGAGATGTGATTGGATAAGAAGGTTTGTGGGCTGTGACCCTGCAGAGCAAACAGCCAATGAATTGTAGTATTGAAAGTATAAAGAGGCGCAGCTTTGTGAGAATAAAGGATTTCTGTGAGCAGCTCCGAGGGCCCTGTGCTCTGTTCCCACACTGTTACACTCCAAGAACAGCAAGAAAACAACAGAGCAGAAAATCAAACCTTGCTCATGAAATAGGYAAGAAGTGGCTCTGAGGCGTACCTGGGTGATAGGTGAAATGCTGGGGTTGGCTTCTTTTTCTTTTGCCGTTGATGACGTAGAAGTTGACCTTGACGGCYGTGCGGATGTGCTTGTTGCGGTACTCAGGGATTTCCACAAACAGCATGCTCTGCAAGAACCCAGGCACAACAGGAGTCAGCAACCCAGGCTGGGCAGGGATTGCTGTGGCAGCTCCCCCTGCTACAGCTCTGGGTATAAAAAATCTCCCTAATCATCCCTACAAAGGGAATGAGAAGAAGAAAGGGAAAAGAGAAAGGGCAGATGCTGAAAGACCAGAAGGTTTTTGGCACTGGCAAACTGCTCTCTATGGACTGCATCCTTCCTGAACTTGGTGGTGTCCTGAACTTGGGGAGAGAAGTCTCAGCTACCAATAAAACACAAGAAATGAGTGATAAATGGTGAATCACTGTTAATCCCACAGTGCTGGATAACTGAGTGTGCATTGCAGAATTCCCTCTTTTTGCCAGAGTAACTCAATTATTCTATAGGATTGTTTCTCATACACAGGCAGCCCCCACTCCCACAGCACCCCCCAGTTCCCTTCCACCAGGACACGACCCATGGCAGTGTCACCACAGCTCCTGACAGCTCTGCCTGCCCCAGCAAAGACCAAGCAGCACAAGGAACAGCCTCGTTCCCTCCAAAGATCAGGGTTTGTTTGAAATCCTGCAGCACAAATCCTGTCCTGCGAAGGATGSAGCACCCAGGGCTGGCACAGGGACCAGGGAAGATGGGACAGTGCAGTGTCCTACAAGGACCAGGGAAGGTGGGACAGTGTCCTGCAGGGACAGGGCTGGCACAGGGGAGCCTGCAGAACACAGCAGAGCCCAGCAGTGACTCTGTTTGCAGGGGCCACCCCTCCGAGAATGGTTTTTTTCTGCTCTTTGTGCTCTCAAGATGCTCTTGAAAGCTCCCCTTGAACAGAACTTCCCCCACAGGAGCTGCAGAGGACATCCCGTGTTTGCATACTTACAGGCTGGCTCTTATCTTTGTCCACTGTKGCCTCCATTTCCCAGATCTGCTGCCCATCTACAAGAAAATCACAGCATTAACCTCACTGTGGGTTCTTTTCAATCGTAGAACTCGACTTAGAGAAAAATAAAAGAGGGACAAATCAGGAGCATCAAGTTTGCAAAGCTCTCCAAATGCACTTCCTTATTTTTGATAGATTTTAATCTTTACCTTTTGGATTTTTATATTCCATTGACTCTTTCAGCCAAGCAATTGCAGAAGAAAAACACTAATGGAGGGGAACAATTTCTCCATACCTTTCTGAAAGCTTGCTTTGAAACAGGCCAGGGGACACACAGCCCAAGAACTGATGGGACTGGGAATGCTGCAGGCATGAGGCAGCACTGGCTGCTTTGGGGGTTCCCCAGAYTGGGCAGCACAAGGGGGAAAATCTCCTCAAACCAATCTTTCTCACAAGACTTTTTATTTTTCCCAACTCTTGGAAGTTCTGCAAGAGCTGCTTTTGTCCTCGGTTATTTAAGCACTTCTGCTTCTGGCAAAAAGGGAAATGAAAGAGTATTTTTAAATGCATTTTGCATTTTTTTCTGTGGTTGCTCTCTTTGTTCTGTGCTGGGCCCAGACAATGAGCTGACAGATGTGCCGGGCTCTCCAGGCACCCCTTCCTAAGCTGGGTTTGATGGCCAGGACAGAGCCCTGGGGTCCCTGCCCGCCCCAGTTCATCCCCTTCCCAGCCAGAACCTGCCCAGCATCCCAACCAGCCCTGGGCACCTCTGCTGGCTCCTGCTCACACATCTGGGACAGCCAGGTGATCCTGGAGAGCACGGTCACATCCCTGCCAGCCTCCCTTGGGGGCTCCTGGGGCTGCTGCTGGGGCAGGAGGGGCACCAAGTTCTGCCCAATCCTTCAATGGGCAGGAGAGGCACCCAGTTCTGCTTGGGCACCCAGCCCTGCCCAATCCTTCACTGGGCACTGTACCCAGCCCTACCCAATCCTTCCCTGGGCAGGAGGGGCACCCAGCCCTGTCTGATCCATCCCTGGGCAGTGCCCCCAGCCCTGCCCAGGCACCCAGCCCTGCCCAATCCTCCAGAGGGGCACCCAGCCCTGTCTGATCCATCCCTGGGCAGTGGCCCCAGCCCTGCCCGATCCTCAGAAGGGGCACCCAGCCCTGCCCGGGCACCCAGCCCTGCCCCATCCTCCCCTGGCACTACACCCAGCCAAGGAACAGCTGCAAGTTTGGCTCCACCAGAAGCTCCCAGATTTGCAGCTGCTGCCCTGCCACACCTCCTGCTGCAAGGAGGGGGCTCTGAACAGATTTTTCTCTCTYTGTTTCAAGTGTCTGAGTTCCCCCCGTGAGTCTTTGCTGGGAYGGCCTCAGACAAGTGGTATTACTGGAACCAGCACATCCCAAGGGACCACCACAAAGGCACGGAAAAGATTCCATTATTTAATGCTATTTAACATAAGCATCCACTTTGGCCACTGCTCTGATCAGTCTCTACCCCTATTAATGCAGCCAACTCCTCACTGCTGTTCTGACAGCAAACAGGGAAGGGGGAACCCAAAATACTGAGGGGTTAATCCAGCAAATCCTGTCTGATGGCAAGGCAGCAAATGCTCAGTGGGGAGATTCCTCTTCTGGGTGACCTTGGARAAAAGAAACCATCAAGTGTGTGTTAAGKAACCTCCCCAYASTCCTGAAAAAACCCAAAGGATAAAYTTTTAGAGTTCTCTGAGGAAAGGAGGAGGGGAAAGGAAACAAGAAAATGTCCTAAAAGAAGAGCTCTGATAGAGCCACACACCAGAGCTGTCTGAGCAATGCAAGATGAAGATGTCCTGACAACAAGGACAGCCCAGCAGCAACGTCTGACACTGCTTTTGCTCCAGGCACAATGTTTTCATCTTTGTTTCTGTACTRCTAAATTCAAACAGGCTGTGCAGATACAACAGCACTAACTTCACAAAGAAGGTAAAAATCCAAAGGATTTGTTGGTCCAGAATGCATAARCTAAAGCAGAAATGGGCCTCCAAGAAGGAGAAGCCTGTGCAACACACGGAGCCTCAACCACAGGGATTGGATCTGGTGACTGAGCTCACTAAGAGCTAATGAAGCCARCCATAAAAACCAAATGATGTTCTGGCTGAGTCCAAAGTCTGTGCGGGTCAAGAGTGAGAATGAGACTGAGCAAACAAGAAATAAATGTATTTGGGGTTATCATTCCAACAATGATAGATGCTTCTGTTTGGATATATTTCTCATTTGTGGCAGCTCAACAAGTTTCTAACAGATCTGTCAGGAGCAGCAATCCCTGTTCTTTGAGCACTGAAGCCCTGTTCAATTTAACCACTCTGCAGTTCCCTTCCTGACCTTTATGCTTAAATATGATGATGTGGCTCCATCTGTCTCACTGCTTCACTTTAGCTCGAGACAATCAATATTTGCTTTTCCTTTAACTGCTCTGGATATGCACATTATGGGGAGCTTTTGGCAGAAGGATGAGGCAGGCTGTGAGGAAAATGAAAAATACTACTGCATTCAGAAGTCTCTCTCTAACCTATTCTTCTTCCTGGTAATGAAAAGAAAACTTTTGATTATGCACAYTTTGGGAGTTAATGGAGAGCAGAAGGAATGAACTGTAAAGTCTCAGGATTATTTCAGGAAATTCTGAATCGAGAAAACCTGCACCAAACTGTCAACACATTTATCATCTTTAGAATGTGCATAAATGCAAATGCTTTTTGAAGGAAATTAAAGTGGATGTTTGGAGAAAGTCTTCAGCAAAAATGGGATTCTTATTGCAAGGATGTGCTCAAAATCCTAATGCTGATGTGACAGTGGAGCACAGCCCCAGTACAAAACACAGCCTGGGAACACCAAACACTTTCCCTGGACCCAGGAGGGGCCTGAGCACCAGAGATGAGCTCAGCTTTGAGCAGGAGCTCGTGCTAAACCCTCCAGAGCTCCCTTCTGGCCTCAGTTTCCCCGAAATTCTGCCATGCCACAAACAGGACCAACAGCTCCTGCTTGGAAACCAACAAGACTCAACCCCAGCTTGATYAACAATTTAATCTAAATTCTAAATCTGCTTACTGCATACAATGAAACCTGCTTCAACAATGGACAGAGAAGGAAACGGCAGAAGATCACTCGAGAGCCCAGTGCCAGGTCCACGTGTGTGGTGCCTTTCAAACTGTGCCTCCACACAGGGAATTCAATCCCTGCCTCTGCAAAGGGCAGCAGTTGCACTCAGGATGATAAAATATTCTTGGATTTAGACCCTGAGCTCTTACCAGCCATAGCTGCCTCATGCAGTATTTTTACTGTTGTGGTTCCCTGCTCATTTAATGGTTTGTCTTAGTTGGCAAGTCTTTAACACCACAGGTCAGTGAAATGTTCAGGAAATAGAGATTTTTGTGCTGCTTCAGGGCTATGAGACTTWGCATTAAACCCCGATGAGAGATCTGATTGTGTCAGCACTCTTTGGAGGAATGAATGAGTTGTTRGAAGAAAGTAATTCTACCCTTTCTAACCCCAACTGCGACCATACCAAAAGTCTTGCTTCAAACTGGGGAAAATCAAAATGTCAGTCTGCATTAGGAGCATTGGGGGTGATTCTCTGCAGCCCCCCATAGGACTTTTTTTAATTAGCCAATTAAAGGGTTTCTGAACCGGTTACAGCCTTTACACATTATTCAGGATCCCTTACTCATGGCTTTGGGGTCAGTAACTAGCAGAGAAACAAACTCACTGCTTTATTTGAACAAGCATGACTGATGGACTGAGAGGCTCAGGAAATTCTCTTTGCAGCTGAAGTCTGAATATACTCATGTGCTGATTCTGTAGGATTCCATGCCTGCATTTTAGGCATTTTAGGCCTGCAAATGTACACTGCTTTTCAGTCAAGCATTGCACAAATTACTTCATGAACAACCTGTTACCTTCCTCCCAGGCAGCAAACGCTGCTGGCTCCCCAAAGAACCCCAGCACAGAAGGAAACCAGAGGGGCAGAGCTCTCACTGCACATTTGTGCACATTTCCCTCTGGATCTGCACTCAATTCACTCATTCACTGCATTTCGTGGAAGATCTTCCAAAAAAGCACAACTATTATCTCTGCCAGTTTTTCTCAGTAGGTGACAGACATCTTTGGAAAGCAAAGAAGGGTTTTTAGAGCCACCCAAAGAACAAAGGGAAGGGCAATGAATGGTTTCCAGTGGGACAAAACCATTCTGGGAGACAGAAACCTTACAGGGAATGTTCACTCCGAATTTCTGCTGCTCTGGACAAATTCCAGACACATTCAGGGACAATTTCTGATTTCAGCAGGAAAGTTACTCTGCTTCCAGTCAGCACACTGGTCCTAAGCAGTTGTCTCCTTCTAAGCTCTCACTTCAAAATAATTTTCAAACTTTACAGCAAACTCAGCATGAATGTATTTAAAACTCACAAAAAGTAGAACTATTGATTTTTCCCTGAGCTTCATTTTCATGGATTTCTTTTCCTTCTGAAGCAAGACTGCCCACTGCAGTTAATGAAGCTCTGTTCATTATGAGCAGGGGCCAGTGTCTTCATTTCACTGAGGACACAAGTTTGACTCACCAAGGCCAAAGATACAAGTCAAGGTCTGGGAGGTAAAAGGGCAATGGATTAGTCATCCACCAGCCAGCCCAGCCCCAAATTTGACATTTTGCACAGTGAGAACAAGTCTAGAGGAGATTTCTCCCCATCTATTGTTGAGRAATTCAACTCACATTAAAATAAAACACAAATACAGTAGTTGAACAGTGAAGCAGCAAGAACAGTATTTCATTCCAGAGCTTTTCCAATGATTCCTTATGGCAATTCATCAGAATAATTTGTTGTTTTTTTAAGATTATAAGTGTGCTTGTGTGTGTATGTGTGTGTCTGTGTATAAATTACTAAACAAAAGCTTCTCTCAAAATAAAACCACTGGGAACCTCCATGTAATAAAATGAGTCACACCAGGATGCGATGACTAAGTGGGAGAACAGGGAATTCCACTCCCCATGCCAGCTTTCTTCATGATCAATTTGCTGTCAACAGGTGATGGGAGCTTGTCTCTCTGCCTTTTGTTTATGCCAGGAATTATTATTATTTTTTAATATTCTCCCTAAACAATTAAGCTGAATAATCAGGCCCAGGCACCCTTCCAGCAGGCGCCCCCATACAAACAGTGAGCCAGGGAATCCAGGCCAGTAGTGGCTGCCTGTGTTAATAAGGATTTACCAGCTGTAAAATTCCAAAACCTTGTGTCATACGGGGAAACCTTCCAAAACACTGGATTCCACCCTGTCTCGCTGAGTCCTTAACAGCTATGGCAACTCCATTTCTGCAGCCACACTCTCCTGCAGTTTTCTCTGGGTGAGCCTTAGATTTTTTCCTGTTTTGCAGTGTTTTTCTGGGATCCCCAGTTGGATGATTGCCCCGTGGGATTACAAGAACACCTGGGGCAGGCAGCACATTCCAGCCAAGGGGAAACCTTTGGGTAGAAAGGTTTGCTGGCTTCCAGCAGCAAGGAAAAGCAGAAGGTGCCCCATCTACCCCGAAACTTTCTAACTGGCACAGCAGAACCAGGCAAACCAATCCTCCTGATCAATATTGTTATTCTTCAGGGCTCACACATGGTGGGATCAGCTGAGACACCTTCCTGTTGTGTGCAGAAAGAGCACACAAAACAGAAATTCAGAGGACAAAACCTCACTGATGACCCCCCTTGTGCTTTGGAGGGAGATGCCCCYGCAGCCCCTGAGCTGCTGCTGTGCCCTGGGGGAGGCAGGGAGGGGACATGGCCCTACAAAAGGAGACCTGCAGCTCCTGCACAGTCCAGATACACCCCCAGATACCCTGGGACTGATTCCTCAGCTCATCCAGCTGGTTCAGGGAGCTGCATGCAGCTTTAGTGCTGACCTCCAGCCACGTAACAGGGAGCATGCTGCTTCAAAACCAGCAGCAAACAGCAACAGAACCAAAGGGTTTCATGTGCTTTCTGTGCCCTTCAAAACCAGCAGCAAACAGTAAAATCACCAATGGGTTTCATGTGCTTTCTGGGCCCTTCAAAAGCAGCAGCAAACAGCCAGAGAACCAAAGGATTCCATGTGCTTTCTGTGCTACTTCAAAACCAGCAGCAAACAGCAAAATCACCAATGAAATTCATGTGCTTTCTGTGCCATTCAAAACCAGCACCAAGCAGCAAAATCACCAATGGGTTTCATGCGCTTTCTGTGCCCTCCAAAACCAGCAAGAGAACCAAAGGATTCCATGTGCTTTCTGTGCCCTTCAAAAGCAGCAGCAAACAGCAAAATCACCCATGGGTGTCCTGGCAGCTGCACAGCTCCAGGGGCACAGGCAGCACCTCCTGCCTCCCCCAGCCTGGCCCAGAGGGACACTCCAGGGATGGACACTGTGCTGGGGCTGTTCCTCCACCACCCACATTGTCCCAGCCGTGATTCATGATGTCCATGTGGCCACCAGAAGAGTTTGGCACGGGAAATCACAGTCCATTTGCACTTTTCTCCCAGAGAAATGTGAACCTYCTCTATCCCTGACAGCAGAGCAGCAGTAACCAGTACACAAATGGGAGTAAACACAATGCAACCAGCATCTGACTTGCAAATTATTACATGGCAATTAAAATAAATAAAAGGGGGAATTCCAAATCTTTTCTTTTTTTAACTGCACTGTAAGATCTGGGCCCTGACCAAACACTGACACCCTTGACCTTCACCGTTTTCCAAGTCCTTGATAGCTCCAAGACTGCTTCTCAAGCTCTCTCTTCCAGACCAAAATTAAAAGAATACAGTCCAATCCAGTCGCTTCCCCTGACCTACTTTAATTTAGTTGGGCTCAGCTACGTGTCTTCAAGTTCACATCTTCAAACTCCTTCAGCCAAACTCTGCTTTTGTGTGCTGGGCTTAGGGAATTTATGAGTTGYCCCTGGCTCACAGCAGCTACGTTTTATGATCGTGCATCAGGAAGAGATAACCTTTGAAAGAACTCAAAACTCTATGGCCTGCACGTTGATAAACTAGCATTAAGAAAATTATTGCTATTTATGCCTCAGCATTTCAAACACAAGTTCTTTATCCCCTCAGCAGCCCCTTCASTTGGTTTCCTGCTGCCATTTCCTGCCATGAGTGAAGCTGAGACTGTCACAGCCCTGTCCCCAAAAGCTCCCTGCCACTGCCTGTGGCTGGTGTGACACAGGACATTCACTTTCACAATGACATCCCCCCACAGTTCAGGGAATTGTCCTTCTTTTCCAGGTATTTCTATGGAATAATGCACATATCTGCAGTTCTGTGAAAAGAGAAATAAACCCTGTCCATTATTGCTCATGGAGTAATTGTATTTTGGTCACAAATGTGACCAGCTCCACGTTCCTCTGCRCTGCTGGTGGTGAGGGAAGAATTGTCTGCAAGACCCAGAGGAAGTGGAAACAGGTTCAGAGTGTTCCTCTGATGGATGAAACCTAATTTACAGCCATGATCCCAAACTGCAGCTTCCTCAGTTTTGTAAAGCACGTGCCTGGTGCCTTCCCAGCACTGCCTCACCCAGACAGGGGCACCAGTATGGCACAGTTAACACAGAATTAGCTCACTGCACAAAGGGGTTTGGGGAAAAGAGCCTTGCTGCTCTCCCTAAAGCACTGCACACACGAGGCAGAGRGCTCTGGAGCTGTGGATGGTCACCAAGTACTCTCACCTTGTTACCAGCACAGCCCAAACTGGTGGCACAGCAGCAAACCCAGCACCACTTGCTAGCACAGACGAGGCTTGTGAGCTGCTAAAATGAAACTCTGAGCAAAGCAAGGCTCCCCTGCGAGCTTGCAGCACCTTCCTGCCCTGGCCAAGGTGTGATTCCTGGGCAGGGCTGCTCTGGAGCAGACACTGCAGGCTCAGCAGGGCTGGGTGGGCAGCSCTGGATTCACCAGGATGGGCACTGTGCCCCTTCCTGCAGGGCTGTGCAGGGCACAGGAGCTGCTGCAGGCACCAGGCACGGCTGGAATGGGCCCTGAGCTCACACAGTGAGACATTCAGTGGCCACTGCAGAGATTTCAAAGGCTCTGCAGTGCACAGGGAGCTGACAGGCTCACACACAGAACATCCTGGGACTCTCCTTAGCCTCTGATAAACTGTCAGTGTGCTGCACTCAGCCTGTGTGTGATCTGTGTGTGCAGCTCAGCYTCCTCACCTTCACACACAGCCACGAAACAAAGCAACCTTCACTCACAAACACTCCAAGAGCTGCTGCTGCTGCATTTTGGACACACAGAGAGCCCCTCAGCACCGAGTCCCCCAGATAACCCACTGCAAACCACTCAGACTTCTGACTCAGCCCAAGGATTTGTCTCTGCACCTCCCATCCTCTAAATTSCCCTTCTGCCAATCATTTATTCCTGATCCAGCAGACTGAGCGTGCCCACAGAGGGCAGGCAGGATATGGAACACCAGCAAGCAAATCCCTGCTCCAGACTGGCCACTGCTGCTGGGATAAATCCTGTCTCTCCCCTACCAGGAGGTAAAAACAGAGGAAAAAAAAAAAACCTGCAGTTTCCCCAGCAGCAAAGAAAAGCTTTAGATTTACTGTGGAAAATGTTGTTGCTCTTTTTACTTTCTAACATCTCTTCCAGCCAGAGCCTTCCCCGCTCTCACATGGAAACAGGGGCAGGGCGTTTGGGATGTTTCCTCGAAATGGCATTAAGAGCAACCTCCTGTGAGTGCCTCCTCTGTGGAGTTACTGCARAACATTTTTGGGACAGGTGGCACTGCAGGCTGCCAGGGCGTTCCCAGGCACCTTCCTGAGTGCTGACATGGCCCACAGTGGGCAGGAATTCATACAGGGCTTGAAGGGAAATGGGGCATGCCAAAAGGATTCCTGTGAGTGCACGGGCAAATCCCAAAGCCCAGCTCTGCAGAGCCTTCCATCCCTGCTTTAAAACAGCCAAAAGGACTCCTGTGAGTGCACAGGCTCATCCCAAAGCACAGCCCAAAGCCCAGCTCTGCAGAGCCTTCTATGACTGCTTTAAAACAAGCAACCAAAAGGATTCCTGTGAGAGCATGGGCAAATCCCAAAGCCCAACTCTGCAGAGCCTTCCATCCCTGCTCTAAAATAGCCAAAAGGATTCCTGTGAGTGCACAGGCTCATCCCAAAGCACAGCTCTGCAAAGCCTTCCATCCCTGCTTTAAAACTGCCAAAAGGATTCCTGTGAGCTCTGCAGAATCTTCCATCCCTGCTTTAAAATAGCCAAAAGGATTTCTGTGAGCTCTGCAGAGCTTTCCATCCCTGCTGCAAACAGCCCAGCTCACTCTTGGGGGTGAAGGAACTGCCACCCCCAGCATGGTTCTCCCCCATCACCAGCTGATGCCCACACACATTTATAAATGCACATGCATTTCTGGCTCGATTCTCACTGGTTTCAATGGCATTACCCCACAGATCATGCACATGCTGCTCTCTTGGGCAATGAAATCTCTTAAACCCCTTGCAAGTCACTGATGYATCACTTAAAATACCTCTACCTCAGTTCACCGACAGAAAAGTTCCAAGCAGTGAGTTTTCTTAACAGCACAAAGGGAACACAAAGTTTACAATAAAAACTGTGGAGGAAGTGATGTATTTTTGTATCTCATTATGTGTATAAAAATARTTCGATATAAAAAGTTATGTATGGTTTTTTTCCCACAGATTTCTAAAGGGAAGAAAACACCMTCTCTGCCTGTAGTTCACATCAATAAAAAATGTTCATTTGGATGGTGATTTCCACAGTAGCATTCACTGAACATGGAAYTGAACAAGCACAGAGGAACATCTCATGTCTCTGATAACACACCCTGTCCCTGCTGATCCCCAGTGCCTGCACCTTGTGAACACCAACAGTKGCTCCCAAGCCTAATTGTGCTCACAAGGCTTCACTCACATGAACTTCAATGGGATTATTCCCTCGAGTAATCATCAGCACAAACCTTACWGTGAGATTTGGCACTACAGATTTGCCTTATCCACTAAGGAGAGTTAGGAAACACCTGCCTTACCTGATGTTTTTTCYGTGAACACCACTTTGGACTCTGCTGTGAAATTCTGTCCAGTCAGGATCATCTGCTGTCCTCCATAAACCAGGCAGCTGTCAATGTCTTGTCTTTCAACCATTGGAAGTTCATGAGCAGATCTTTGGGCTGTGGACAAATTGCAAACATGAATGAAACCAACTTTGTTTTACCAGGACTTTCCAAATCTTCCCAGAACTATCCACAGATCGATCTTGTCATCGTTACCATCCACTGACTGCCAAAGCAGCTTCTCCAGAGTGCTAAATTTAGGTCWGAGAGGGAAAAATAAACTTACTCAAGGCATTTTATTTGGAAACATTCAGGAGTTGGCTGCRGTGGCTCGGCTGTGCTGGCCCTGCTCCTTGTCCTTGAGAAAGGACAGCGTGGATGAATGAGCTGAAAGCTGCCCATGCCTGTTTCCAAGCAAATAGCCAGATTTTCAAGTGCAGGCAGGCATACTACAGTCCCAGAGCCCAAAAATTCCACCTGCATCGAGGATTCCATTGAATAACACTGAATTCCTTCAGAAGGGGAAAAAAAAAAAAAAATGAACCTCTTCTCCAAAATGGCACTGCCTCCCCCAGGACAGGGCCTGGCACAGAGGGGTGGCCAAAAACAGCTCCATGTCCATGAATGGGCACCGAGCCCTGGGCTCACAGGAGGGGTGGCCACAATGCCCCTGCTGTGACCAGGAGGGGTCACACAGGGATTCCTGCAGCCCTGGATTTTTCCAAGCGTGTTCTGCAGAATTCTGAACACATCTGAGGAGCAGGGCTCAGTGTCACAGACTGAGTTTGGTTATAAAGGCAAGGCAAGAGAAGGTAGGGTGGGATCCAGACAGACATGGACGTCATCAAGGCTTTCTAAGGTCTTTACTGTTCTTAGCCATGCATTTGGAGTGTGACTTYAGCAAGTTATTCTCCCCTTCTCCAGCCAGAAAACCAGGACAGCATAATCTCTCCACCTACTTTCCCCTCACCCCATTAAAACAGCCATTTGCACAGTCACAAAAGCTTTGCAGAACCCTGGCCACCATCCCTGCAGAGCCATCCCAACTGTTTGCTATCAGGCAGCAGGAGCTGAACAAAGTGAAGATGTGTGAACTGTTCCCTACAACACAGACAGCTGGAAAATATCAGGAGCTTCCCTGTGAGCAGAGCAGGTGGGCAGCAGTGAACTGTGAGTTCATGACCTGCACTCCAACTCCTCCAGATCCATCCAGCCCAACTGCAGAGGTCTCCAGAGGATTCTGCTCATCTCTTTCCCAGCTGCCTTGGCTGCCTTGGAGCTCTCCCTGACAAAGAGACCCCGAGTTTTTGTGTCTGCACTGAGCACCGTTGGCTGCTGAGCCAAACTGAGGAAATGTGATGCTGGATGTTGAGGGCTGGTCCTGCCCAAACTGAGGAAATGTGATGCTGGATGTYGAGGGCTGGTCCTGCCCAAACTGAGGAAATGTGATGCTGGATGYTGAGGGCTGGTCCTGCCCAAACTGAGGAAATGTGATGCTGGATGTYGAGGGCTGGTCCTGACTCAGGCAGGCCAGGCTGGGCTGTCTGTGACCTGACCTGGCACTGCCTCTCTGCTCTGCAGCCCTCGCAAAGCCGCAATTCTCGCGTCACCTGGAGAAAATGTTGGAATATTTGCTGAGAAAACTCAAGCATTAAACCTTTCATAGCGGCTTTTCTTGCTCTGCTGAACCCTCCAGTCATGAGACAGAGATTTTGCTCTTCCTAAAGAACAGAGGTAATTTAACAGTTGTAACTTTCTGGTACCATTTGAGAGGCATTTTTGAAATCTRTTTAAAACTACCTTAGGACTCACTGTTCCTTTCAAATACATAACAACATCTTGGCTAAGATACTGCCAGTTAAGAATATATATTCAGATTATTTTCAAAGAAGCTGATGATGTCTTTCACATGGCTGTAGGATTAATTTTTTCCCAAAATACTAAAAATTCTGATGATTTCATAATGGGATTTATCACAAAGACAGATCTGTAACCTCAAAGGCTTAAGACTAAGTAGCAATCATCAAAAAGCAAATCTACAATAGTCAAAGCATACACTGACGTATTTAAGCGTGACTTAATTGCCCTGGACACTGTTAATTCCTATTCAATCACCAAATTCCACTTCCAAAGCATCCTAAATCATAACAATTCCAGATTAACCTACATCTCTTTCCACCTTCATTGTGTTAATATGGTACCTGACATCCCACAAAGCAGTGGTTCCCAAGGCTTTTTCGGGATGAGAAGGACAAATTTTAGCCTGGAATTGGCTCTGACTCATCTCAATGACATTTGGAGCTGCAGAACCTGGTGTGACTTTGGGCATCCCCAAAATCCTGCTTTACCAGGGCCAAGTGGAGATGAGCAGATCTGCTGTGCTTTAGGGGTGCTGCACAGTAATCCCATGTGGAACAGCTCCAGCTGAGCTCCTCCACAGATATCACACACAAAGGCTTTCCCCTGCCCCATTTTTCCTGCACTCTTCTCCTCCTTTTGGGTGATTTGAAATCCTTTTATAATAATTTTTAAAACCCAGCCACTTTTCATTTTCCAAGGTCTCTTTTTTTCACCCAAGCCTGTAAGAAGGTTCCACCCCATTCCCCATTTCCACCAGCACAGAGGTTCAAGGTTCAGTGTGGAGCTGCTTCTATAGGATTTTTTCTTCTCTGCAAGAAATATTAATTGCTAATAAATCCCCTTCCTCTAAGGCYCATGATGGGTGGACTGCATGCAATAATTTCACACTATTCCTTCTCTTCCCCCAGGGGTTGGCACTTCATAAAGTGACCTACAGCTACTGGAGTTTATGAGCTTTGAATAAACAAAACACTGTTGATTTAACCAGTTGGGGTGTTTACTTTCAATAGCAACAGTTACTGACATAAGGCAGCAAAGCAAATGCTATAGAAATACTCACACTTGGCCTRAAGCAGTGTGTCAACCTATTAACAGGGGACATTATTTTTCTATTTTATTTGACTGTTTGCAAATCAAGATGTCATGGGTTGGTGGTGCCAAGAAACACAAGGCACACAGTGACAGGGGACAGAAAGGGAGCCACTGTCTGGGGCCCTGCAGCACCTCCAGTGATCTCAGCCTGCAAGGAGCAGCCCCCACTGCCCACCCAGCCTYCCCTGCACCCCAAACTCCAGCCCTGATCCCCATCCCTGGGCCAGCAGCTGCAGAAAAGGTGGGGATGGCCAAAATCWCTCCCCACGGGATGCACAAGGACCTGTGCCAAGGCAGGCCAAGGCGGGTCGTGCTTCCCCACCTGCCCACAGCATCCAGAACTTTCCAGAGAGAGGAGATTTGGCTTTTAGGGGGGAAAAAAGGGGTATTTTCAGAAAACTGTTACCTGAAGAAGCCTCTAGCAGCTCCAAATCTCCCCCACAAGAGTGYCACCCATTRCTGCTGGGAGGTGACAAGGGACAAYCTCAGCTGGAGCCACCTTGTCCATGGAAGGTGTCACTGGATGAGTTTGAAGGTCCCTTCCAAAGCAGACATTGTGTAACTTGTGATGAACTCCTGCTGGTGAAGCCTCTCCACAGTGCCCAGCACCTGCAGCACTAACCCTTGGGTCACCTGCTGTCCCCACTGGTGACAATGACAGGCCAGAGGGACCTTATTATCCTTGTGACACCTGCTCAGGAGGAGCAGACTGAGGCTCAGGGGCAGCTCAGCAAGGACAAAACCACGGCAACCTCTGATCAAGTCACAAGCCAAGGAAAACAGAAGAGTTCTGAGAGAGGGGGGTCACAGCCTGCACCCTGCACTGCAGTGGCCTCACCAGGACAAATGTCCAGGTCCCTCTTTGGACCTGCCCAGCTCACCCCAACTGCAGGAACTCACTCCTGACATGTCTTTCACTGATTTCTGTAGGATTTGAGGAGAGCAGACAGAACTGGATGTCTGCTGCTMACAAACCCCTGACCCCTGGAAGCAATGGCAGAGGTGTAATTTGTTATGGGATTAATTCTTCCACCTCAGTGCAAACCTCAATGAGCCAAAGCAAATATTTCATTGCTGCTGTCACGCCGTGTTTATTTACCACGAGCTGCCTGTGGTAGGATTGATAGGAGTGGAGCTGCTCAACACTGATCCAGCTCATTCATGTTTGAATGAATGAGGACTTTGATCCCCTCCATCACTCCCTGAGCTCTCCAGGGGGAGAAAAAGRGGGCAAAGCCATGGGAGCACCAAGAGCAGGAGAGTTCTCCTGCAGGCAGGGAGACATCAGCATGACACCCAGAGAAAAGCAACCTTCTAATCAGAGGGATGGGATAATTCACCTCCTGGTAGGAGTATGGAGCAGTGGAAGACTTAAGAATCAAGTAAATAAAGCAAATTTCCAGCCCTCATGGGGAAACCTTAAAAATGTGGTTAAACACTCTGAAAAGAAGAACCCAGTATGACTGACAGCAGTTTCTAATTTGCTGCCAGCAAGACTTAATCAGCACTTTGTGCAGAGCCATCCAAGCAAAAAGCACCAGAAATARAGAGCTTTTCTGCACCTCCTCCTCTGCAGATAATTTATGATGTCCTCGCARAGGAGGAGTGACAAGCACCGATGGCAGCAGTGTCAGATAAGTGTGACACTTTCTATGAAGTGCAGCCAGCTCACCAAGCCTGTGTGTGATTAATGACAGGAAAAGCATGGCCTCGGCTCACTCCTCTGTCAATCAGCTCTGCACAGCATTTTCCTGCAATCCCTTGTGGAGGGGACCTGCTCAGTGAAATCCAGGCTCTGGAGCTTTTGATTTTAGCACCAGCAGCTCTGCAAAGACAAAAAATGCCCAGGAGTTTATCCTTGGAGCAAAGCTGGCAGCCTGCATGAGGGACAGGCATTTCCCTTCCCTCTGACTCACACTTTAAAGACTGAAATATTTTGGTTGCATGTTCAAAGTGGCGAATCTTGACAGAATTAGCTTTTAACAGTCTGTGCTTCAAGAGAGAGAAAATGCTCTCTTTAGAGAAAGCAGCAGTTTTCCYGTCAGCTTTACTCACAGCCAACTGCGTGACTGCCTTGAAGCTGAAATAAAAGGGGRAAAAAAATTCATTTAATTCAACTGGAAACCATGAAACTCCCACAATAATCATGGTTATGGTTAGACTTGCAAATAGGTATCTCCCAAATGCAAAGAAACCATTTGTTTCTGCTTTTYCCTCTGAATAAAGCAGGGCTCCTTCTTGCCCGTTGCTGTATTCCAAGCAGCACAACTCCCAGCTGAGGAAAAGCACTCACTGCCTTGCCAAGACAACATTCTTTTACATGACTAGCTCTTTCCTCTGTAGTTATTAATGTGTCACAAATCATAGGCTCAGATTGTCTAATATTATGGGAAAATCTACTAGAAGGAGAGAAAAATAAAGGAAACTTCCAGGGAAATTGATTAAAGGGAAACAAGAAATTTGACCCAATTTAATGGAACAAAATACGGTCAATAATAGAAACTACTTAAATTCCTSTAGATGGACACACGGTTCTTTAGCAATAAGTTGTGTTTGTTTTGTTTTTTTACCACCTCGGAACATCTATTCTAAGAACAAGGTTTTAGTCTCCTTCTCTGGTGCCAAGTGCAATTTAAGTTTGCATTTTAAGGGATTCATGAGCACAGCTCAGGATCAGCAAACACGGATTCTACAAAGCAAGAATTGTGACAGATTTTGGGAAGGTTTAACCAGGATCCATTGGAATAAAAGCTGGGGCACAGTGGACATGAGACAGACACTTGCATGAGGCAGTTTTTGGTTACTGACCCCCTGAGCAAACACRCTGTGCTGCTACTCTGAACTCCCACCCTGCTCCTTCTCTGCTCCAGGACGCTTCAGCTGAGGAGCAGAAACATCTCCAGGTGTTGGGACAGCAGCCTGAGCCCCCAGAGATGATGATAACCCCATTTCTTGGAAAGGCAGCCCAGTGCCAACCATTTCTGCACCACCACAGACCATACACCCACCAAGAGACGAGCTCAGCTCTTGGTGAAAGGCAAAGGAACAGAATGAATGTTACAGAAATTGTCCTCATGGCTTAAATATATAATAACTGTGGTGTGAGTGTGCAGCCTCTCCAGGGTAATTTCCAAGGTGGCTGAGTCTGAAGGGACAGTGAAGGCAGTGCCCTGTCACCTGCCATGTGACACCTGTGACACCACAGGAGCTGCTCCTGCCCAAAGCAGGGATGGACCCTGGGACACACCAGGGACAGAGGGAGGGTGGCAGGAGCCAGGGATGGACATTGGGACACATCAGGGACAGAGGGAGGGTGGCAGGAGCCAGGGATGGACATTGGGACACATCAGGGACAGAGGGAGGGTGGCAGGAGCCAGGGATGGACCCTGGGACACACCAGGGACAGAGGGAGGGTGGCAGGAGCCAGGGATGGACCCTGGGACACACCAAGGGACAGAGGGAGGGTGGCAGGGTGCCAGACCAGCAGGATATTGGGTTCTGGCTCCTGTGGGGCTCACTGCCATGTCACTGCCTCACTGGGGACCAGGAGCAGGGATTTGTGTCACCTTCCAGCACCACACCTGCCATTTCTGACACTTGCCTGAGCCATGGCCTGCTGCTGCAATTATCAAGAGGGATTTCAAATAAATGCCTTCACCTCCTCAGTGGCTTCAGGATGAATCAACAGGCAGCAGGAGGAGAAAGCTGCTGAATGTGCAGGCTTGTCCAGATCTCAGGTCCGTTTTAAGGCAAAAATKATCATTTAACAACACATCACCTCCTCGGTCCTCCCACACAGCTCTGGGGAGGAACCMGCTCCGGATGGGGCTTTGAACCTGTGAAATCCCCTCCGAAAATCTGTCAAGTGCTGAATGTGACACAAACGAGGTGTAAGCAGCTCTCACAGCCCCTGCTTTGATCTGCTGGCACCAGGGGGACTCTGAGCAGTTCCTGGGGACCAGAGCCCTCAACACGAAAAATGTAAAAAAAGAGCAAACAAAGGGGGGAAAAAAGAATCCCAAAAGAGCAAACAAAGGGGGAAAAAAGAAGCACAAAAGGTGGGACAAGGAGAAAACATGGCACAGCTCCAGTGCCCCTTCTTGGCAGGGCACCTGAGCTTCCCTGGGACTGTTTTTTTCTTGCAGGAGCTTTGCTGTCTTCTATGCAGTCAGCATTTTAATATTTTAATTATAAAAACCCACTAACAATAAGCCATTCATACTGGTATCTCCACTGCTGGCTTTTTTTATGCCCCTAAGACTCATCAGTGCAAAGACATCTCAGAATAAATGCTTCAACATCTCAACCAAGGCACYGCCCCAGCAGTCACTGCACAGGCAAATTAGGTGTGTGCACGCAATTCAGGAAAATGGGATTTATTCTGCAAACCATGCCTGGATTTGTGCTCGAACTCTGCGTGGTGATGGGCACAAAGACAAGGTGCCATTGTGGAAGGGCCCTAGAAATGCCTGGCTAACTCATTTGTTTTTCCTGAGGAGAATTGGAGTGAGTGGGGGGTGATCTTTGGGGCTCCCTGTGGCCCCAGGGACCAGCTCCCCCTCCTGCCCTGGCTGCTGCTGTTTTCCTGCCCAGAGGGTGTAGGAGTTACACCTGGAGCTTCCCCACCCAAGGAGCTCCTCGTTGAGCGCTTCCTTTAGCAAATGGAYCTTTGTTTCTGCAGGGACACGTTTGGGGTGGAGGCCACTATTGTTTCAGCCATCTGCTCCCACAAAGGAACAGGACAGTTTCCTACAGACAAAGGTGGTGGCGACTCCCACTGCTGTCCCTTCCCCATCCCAGTGCCCACACATTTCCCTCRGCTGCAGAAATGCTCTGACAGTTGGTACCTTCTCACAAACATTGTCCTCTCCCAGCCTTGCCCTGGTTATTCATTTGCAGTGCTTTTTAAAAAGCTGCCGTCAATAATTCACTAGCCAGTCCGATTTCCCACCCCAAACTGGATCCTCTCATTCTAAGCAGCAGTATAGAAGTGAAGTCTGCATCTCAAKAAATAAAACTCACAAAGAGAAACTCAATGGCTTTCTTCACATGACTTATGGCAAGATTGTGAGGCCTATAGATWTAGATTCTGCTAAAGGAGTGAGTCATTCAGCAAAGGGAGAGGAAAACTGCTCATTATATATTTGTGAAATCCCCAAACCACCAAAAAGGCACCATTTACCAACAAAAAGCATCACAGGATGCACAGGAACCAGCAAAGTGGGAGGAGCCCTTCCAGAAATGACTGTGACACGGGGGCACCTCATCAGAGCCTCTSTTTCTCAGGATCCAGTCCGTTACCACGAGTGGGAGGTGCAGGTTTCTGAGTTCACACACTTATGGGATTCGCACCTCACAAATCAAAACTGCCAGTTTTCTTCTRTCCCCCAGGGGAAAAACCAGAACAACCTGTGCTTTCCCTGCTTCAGCCTCCYGAGCTGTGCACCCCTCAGCACTGACAGCGAGAGAAACAATAACCAGAATGCACCCGACCATCAGCACCAAACGTGTTCCTGCAGTGCTGCTGTGCTCCTGTCACAGCTCTGATCACGGGGCTCTGGCCACTCCTTGGGCAGCAGSACTGGCCACAGTGGAGCTAACCCACTCTGAGTTCAGACCTCCAGCCACGTGCCACTTTGTGGGTAACGAGTTCTGATTGTGCTTCCCCTCCAAACAAAGCCACTGCCAGGAATGCAGGCAGCCTGCACCCTCGTGCACCAAGGGGACAATGCACACGTGTCCCTGCACAGCCCCATGGTGCTCCTGCTCCCRGGAACACCCAGCAGCAACACAGCAATGCAAAAACCCTGCAGGAGGCTCTCGCTGTCCTCACAAGCTCCAGGCACCCCAAAGAGCTGCCAGCCCCCCAAGCTCCTTTCCAGACAGGGAGTGGCCACAGGGAAGAGCCGCGGTCACTCCGGYGCTGGCACCGGCCCAGCCGAGCATGGCAGAGCTCACCCTCGGTGCCAGCCTGGAGCTGTGGCACACAGAAGCAGCCCAGGGATACTCACAGCACTCGATGGGGTTGGAGGCCGCCTGCAGGGACACCACCCTGCCGCTGGGCTCGGGGATGTGCACGCGGAACACGAGGCGCACGCGGGTGTTCTTGCGGCCGATGTCGGTCTCGCCCTTGCGCAGTTCGATGTCGGCGTTGCGCAGCTTCAGGATCCCCGCGCAGTCAATGCTGCAAACACAAAACTGAGCTCAGTGCCTGCTCCCAGTGCCCTGGGATGGGCACACTCAGGGCACAAAGCTGTTCTGAACTGCCCTGACTCAGGATCCAGATAATCCCATTTCAGCAGCTACCAGGAACAAATCCCAGACACGCAGCACGTCGGGGATGCTGCAGGAGCTGTCCCCACTCTGGCACCAGCAGAAGCTGCTCTCCAAGGATTACAGCCCCAAGCCCCATTTCCCCAGTTCTGAGCCCAGGAGGGCAGGAGGCAGGGCCCAGCCTGGGCAGGAGCTCCCAACCCCAGCTCTCCCCCAGCTCAGCTCCAGGGATGGCACAGCCATTCTCTCCCCCAGCCCAGCTCCAGGGATGGCACAGCCACTGTCCCCAGCCCAGCTCCAGGGATGGCACAGCCACTGTCCCCAGCCCAGCTCCAGGGATGGCACAGCCACTGTCCCCAGCCCAGCTCCAGGGATGGCACAGCCACTGTCCCCAGCCCAGCTCCAGGGATGGCACAGCCACTGTCCCCAGCCCAGCTCCAGGGATGGCACAGCCACTGTCCCCAGCCCAGCTCCAGGGATGGCACAGCCACTGTCCCCAGCCCAGCTCCAGGGATGCCACAGCAGCTGTGGCAGCTCATCACAGAGCCCCCACTGCATGCACCCCCCAGTTTGTACTGGGAATCCAGCTCCAAAGCAGGAACCCAGCTGCCCTCTCCTCCTTTGGCACGGGCTGGGTGCTACAGCTAAGCTGGGCTCTGCAGCCTGGCCCAGGTCACTGTCATCCTCCAGAACTCTGGGATGGTGTCCCAGGCAAGGCAGGAGCCTGGCAGAGCACAGAATGGTCCCTGCTCCCTGTGACCATAGCCCTGGATGGGGCTGGGCAGCAATGAAAGGATTAGGCTGGCTTAAATCAGTGCTGAAACTTAATTTTGGTGTAAGTGCAGGTTGGCTTTTCAAGGGTCCAGYGTAACCTTGCAAACATGCCTGTGCTAGGAAAATGTGACAGTTCTTTGTCAAGCTCAGCAATTGCTCTCAGAGGGGGCAGTGAGCAATGCTATTAAACAGGCGCTGCCAGCCCATTTTGATATCAGTTCTAAAAACACATCATTTATCTTCTTTTCATATGAATTAAAATCCCATTTGGGGAGGTATAAGCCCCAAGCTGTTTCCTACACCCACACTGTTCCTTGCCCTTGCATATGTGCAGGGGTTTATTACTCCAGGCTTCCTCGTTAGGAATGAGGTATATTTTCTAAAAAAATACGAAGAATGTGGATTTTGCGATRAAATAGGGGGGCTTAAAAATATAACTGCTCTGCCAATTTTGTCAGAATCCTCTGAAGGATGGAGATACAGCTCTTCCCTCTGCAGAGCAATCACTCATGCTGCCTGGCACACATTCAAGCCTGAACTTTTCAGACTGGTGCCCACTTCATCCCCCTGCCTCCATAAAACTGGAAGGAGTAATACAGACAAGATGTGCCTGTAGTTKTTAACCTGTTACAAGAGGAGATTTCAYGRCCAGAGCACTTGGCTGAGYTCAGGAGAGGTGTTTTCTATTCCAYTSAATGTTGTAATGTGAATTTCACACCTCTCCTGTGTCTGCTGCCCCTGTTCCTCACTGGGCCCTGCAGCACTTGAGACTCAAGGCTTCCCTCCTTAGTGCCCTACAAACCTATTCTGACTCTGAAGATAGTGGGTTATTATAGAGTGGTGAGACACTGGATGCCTCAACTTTGAAAGTGCCCAAGGCCAGAGGTTGGACAGGGCTTGGAGCACCCYRGRMMRGKGRARRTGTCCCTRCCCATGRCAGGGGTGGCACTRGATGGGCTTTAAGGTCYCTCCAACCCAAAYCAKCCYRTGATTACAGTCACTGCAGCAAYTGGAACACAGAGCAGAAGGGCCTGCGTGCACACCTGRTGAATGGTAACTCTTCCAGCAGCTTTAACCCAGGTGCTTTTGTAAATAGGGCCTTACACTCATCAATCATCCCAATGTGCTGACAGYCCCTCCAGAGCACCRTTATTCYTCTAAGTGACCCYTTTCCAGCTGAATCCACCYCAGCTTTGCTAACWAAAAGAGATCTACTTACGTTGCTTTCATGTTGTTTTTGGGTTCCAGGGGGATCTCCAGCACTTTGGTGTTGCCAATGATCTTCTCGTAGCTGGTGGTGGTGACRGTTTTGCCCGTGATGCGATGGACCTGGTAGAAGGCGTGGGGCTTCAGGATGCGCTCGTCTGCTGTGCCAATGAAGATCTGCAGCCCCAGGGGTTTGTTCTCCATGTACCCGTGCAGCTGGCAAGACATTAAAAAACATGGCATCACACACAGGGCCTGCAGTGCCTTCAGCAAACCAGAGATTTGCAGATAAATGGAGATGTGTGACAYTGATTCGCTGCTCTCTGAAACTCATCCTTCCCTCATTCCTCTTGCACTGCCTTACAATACCACCTGTCCCAGCAGAGATGGGATTTTTGCACAAGGATGCCTCAGTCAGCTTTAGACCGTGGGGTTTGTAGGCCTCAAGGACACAAACAGACTCTTTTGTACTAAATAGCATTTTTATAAACAGCATTTCCYGCAAGAAAGCAGAATGCCCCCATAGGCCCGGAGACAAGGAAATTTCTCCGTCTTTATTAACGTTCAAAATTACAAATCAAACCATTCTAAATTTCTCACATAACCAAAAATGAGAACCAGACATTTATCTACCGCATAGCCAGGACTCTAGCTGAAAGGGAACTTTATGGTCTGAGACATGCTAAATTTGTTTTCAATTACTCTGTCCACATACAAAACCTTGATGAAGCCATACAAAGCAAATAGTACTGGAAGATCAGAGAAAAGAAAGATTAAGCTAATGATATTCATGGCCAAACCAGGGCTTTTTTTCCTTTTTTTTTTCTTTTCACCAGTCAGCAGGAGGTATCTCTGCATAGAAGGATTAATTCCCCCCCTGGAAGGGGACCACATGCAGCATCAGTGGTGTGCTGGCAGCTTTCCTCCAGCATGGCAAATGTAAGGCGACACTCACTGTGCACAGATATCATTCCTCACCCAGCACATACTTTGGAGGAACACAAAGGCAGGGGCTGTGCCCCAGAGACCCCTCAAGCCCAGGGCTGAGCAGGCTGCATGAGCAGCTCCATGAATGGATCTATTGAAGGATCAACCCCTAAGCAGGGCTTGGGCAGGACTGAACTGCAGAGCCCAGCCCAGGCACGGCTCACTCTGCTCCCAACAGCACTTGGAGAGATGCTGAGAAGGAAAAGGGGGCAGCAGGACAAAGCTGGCAGCCAGGGGAGGAGCAGGGAGCTGGGCACGGAGCACCAGGGCTGCCACAGAGACACAGCCACCAAGAATGGGATCAATACAAAGGCAGATCCAGAAATGGATGGAGTGTGCAGGAGGGGGAAAAGAAACAGAGGCCAAAAGGCCAGATCTGCTGGGAACAGGCACTGATGTAGGATCAGTGCTGAGCCACAGCCCAGACCCACTGGGAGCCACACCAAMACTCACCTTGAGTATGGGACTTTCCAAATCCAACCTTCCCTGGACTCCAGTGAAAAGCCATTGTATCACCAAAACCCATCCTGTCTTTAGCTATTGGGCATGTTCACTGTCATGCCTGACAGAATAATTCTTTGTGGATCCAGCTACAGCAACCAGAGCATCCTTTGGACAGGAGGGGTTATTGCAGTGACAGCACAGCAGCTCTTGCCCTACCTCTGTCCTGGCAGAACAAAATCCCAGAGTTATGGGTGGGAGACAAAAACAGAGGAAAACAGGTAATAAATTACACCAGAAAATCTGCCCCCAGCGAGCACAGCCAGTAGCAGCAGGAACAGAACTGGCTACATACACCAGGTTTAATACTGACCACCTTTAAAAGTAATTTTAAGAGTGTTTRCTCATGTGCAGGATGAGTTCCCAAGGCAAAACTGTTCATGGCTGTCCAATAATGTGTGTGTTGTACAAATGCACACAGCCTTACAAAGAGAGGAACTGATCCCCTGTTCATATGGCAATGTCTGTATCATCTGCCAGCCCTGGGGCATTAAACACAGTAAAAAGTTTCCTGATCCTCCACAGAACAGGTTTTAAATCAGTTGTTTGGTCAGTGGAAGAATGTAACATTATTTTTTTTTTTTTGTAATTTACGGCATTATGGCAATGCTGTGGGATGACATCATTGTAAAATCAAAACAGCATTATAAAATGCAAATGYAAAGAGAAAAATATATGTAAAAGAGTCAAGTGTCCCTGTTTAAAGGAGTTTGTCCTAATCTTGAGCTAATTGATTATGTTTTCACAGCTAATAAAGGTCATCATTTACCATAAGCATTTCCATCTACCTTTCACTTGCTATGAACACAGCAAGATAACTTAAGAACAAAAAACAGAGATTAACTGCTCACAGAAACACTCCAGGAGCTTTAAAATCAGAGTTTTACACTCAGCTTCAGAACCAATTGATCACAGCTTCAGTCRTGTGACACAACCTCTCTCTTTACCTGGACCAGGGAACAGTGATGCTCACCCTGCTCTCTGAGTATTTTGTGCTGCTTTTTAATACAGAAAATTCACTGTGAGCTAGAATGAAAGAACACATCAAAGCTATACTTCAGGCTCTCCCTAAAACTGAACCACTAAATATTGTCACTGTCAATAAACACTCACCTCCACTATGCCAGGCAGCTGCTTTAATATTTAACCAAAGTGCTGCTCTTTTCTTTGGTGAAGCAAAGGAGGAATAAATTTGACCCTTAAGCAAACTTTGAGAAGTGAAGATTTAAAATGCTTTTAAAAATAATAACTTTGAAATTAATTTTTCCTCCCTTAGCAACAACCAAGCTGCTCTRAAATCTCCATTTTTCAGTGTTGCTCATCAGAGCTGCTCCCTCGCAGCCTTCCACAGGAGCACCAGCCCCACACCCAGGTGTGCCTTCACTCTTTCTCACCCTTCTTTCCATGARGAAAACGAAATCATCTGCATTTCAGTTTCGAGAGGGTGAGCATCAAGAAAGATTTATGAATACACAACTCTGGGAGGAAATATTTTTGTGTATTATTAAGSTGACCTATTCACAATAAAACTCCCCCAAACTGTATACAGATCAAGCTGGAAAAAACCCAACTCCTTTGAGTCACATTTGCCACAAGGGGAAAGAGAAGCCAGACATGATGTGTACCTTTCCATACTCTATTTTGGGACTTTAAGATCCTATTTCTTTCAGTTGAAAGATTTTTCTTAAACTTTGCTTTTGCCTAACTCTTATAATATTAAACACAGCCAGACATGGGCTGGTCTATGACCTGAGAAAATGCAAAGCACTTTGGCAGATAAACAAATAACATCATTCAGAAAACAAGGAGACTTTTCTCGTTTGGTTTGCTACTATGATTGGGTTTCTAAACAAAATGGAAATGTGTGGMACGATTAAAATCATCATCTCACCTCTGCAGAAACAAAATTCATTCATCCTGCACTCCATCCATGGATCAATACCAGTCAGATTTGGGAAGGGGGGGATTTGAGTGCCGTTTGCAGGAAGGCACCTGTGTAATTCTCCATGCACAAAATGAGAAGTTGTACATTTAGGAGCTCAATTACCCACCCAACACAGYCCCTGGGATGGCCCTGGGGACTGCTGCCATCGAGAGCCCACATCAAAAACATGAACCTTTTCTCCTGCACAATTTCAAAACTCAGCTCTCCTCACAACAGAGAGCCCAGCTCCAAACACAGCACTTACAATCACAATTAATAATTCCCATTTACACCATTCCCTACCCAGCACTGAGATGAGCCCAAATGGGCAGTTCAGGCACCACTCACCAATGCAGCAGCTCAGCTCCCAGCAGGACTACAAGCTTTAACTTTGCATTTTCACGTTGGCTTGCAGAGCCAAGTTTTCTTGGGGATTTCTAGTTTAGCTGTAGCACATCGACACTCTCCATGCAGTGCTGGGCTTTGCAAGAGAAAAGCAGAAGCATCTGCAAACCTTACTGGCATCTTKGAAGAGCCCCAGTAAGAGCCTGTGAGACCGACTGCCTCAGAGAGTAATTTATTTCCCATTCATCCCAACAGAGCTCTGCCTGTCAGACATTGGGGTCTCTCTCCCTGGGATGTGCAAAGCTGCACCTTTAAAGCTGACAGCACTCATCTTCCTGTCTAGACAACRCCAGCCAAGGCCAGCAGGAATGTATAAACTCGGTGATTTCATCTGCTGGGAAGCACTCAGCTCCCCAGGTCTGTGAGCTCAGGGTGACACAGCTCTGGCCCCTGACCCTGCACATCGCTGGCTCTGTCCCCATGGAACTCACTCGGGGTGTGCATGTGTGTGGTCAGCTCTGATTCACACAGACCATCCCGGCCGGCAGTGAAAAGAGGGGAAACAGAGGGGAAAGAGAGGGGAAACGGAGAGGAAACAGTGGAGAAACAGTGGGGAAACAGAGCCCTGCAAGCAGCATTTAATGAGAAGGGAGCACCAAGGCGTGTGAGAAAGCGCTTCCTCCTGTGGCTTCCCCTTGTGCCACTCGGCGGGTGAGAAATGCTCTGTGCCGTGCCCACCTTCTGTGCCACAGAGACAGGAAAACCCTCCTCCAAAGCTCTGACCGTGCCAGTCAGACCTGCTAGGGGTGGGCACCAGCCAGAGCCAAACCCTCCTCCAAATCCCCCAACCCCACCAGCAATCCCTGCTCCAGCCAGAGCCAAACCCTCCTCCAAATCCCCCAACCCCACCAGCAATCCCTGCTCCAGCCAGAGCCAAACCCTCCTCCAAACCCCCAACCCCACCAGCAATCCCTGCTCCAGCTCTGCACCAGCCCTGCCTCTCCTTTCAGACAACAGAGGATGTTCTGGCCCTGTTTCTGTCCCTCCTTCCTGCTGCAAGCAGCTTCAGCCTTGGATTTATCATTAATCACCATCACTAATACTCTCTGACTGCAGCAATGTCAAGGATTTTTTGGGGAGGTYTTTGCTCAACAATACTTGTACCAAGATGGAAAATGTCACTGTATTGTCTCAGGGATAGTGGCGTATCAATAATGGTCAGGAATTCAACAAAAACYCCATCCAGCCACTGTATCATGTAGCAGCTCCTCTGCCTGCTTCACTTAGRGCTGACATTGAGCAACAGAGCTGAATCTTCTCACATGTTTTTGTTCAATTTAATGTACTTGGGACACAGMAAAAGAACAAAACCAGAAGGAAATCTCTGCCTTGGTTCCCTTTGCTCCTTACCAAAACTGTCTAAAAAGGCCTCTGAACATAATCCTCTGAACATCTGATTCTGCTAAATTATGTGTGTTTATGATACTCAATTTTACATTTCTTATTTTGGTGACAATATTGTCAAAATTCCAAGGACTGAATCTCACTGTGCTGTTCCTTACAGTAAACACCAACCAGACTCACAGTGTCCTACCAGGATTTCTGCTTTCAGGGGGTTAATACAGGTCTGGGACACAGACAGCAGCTCTTGGGAGAAAGCAGTCGGGAGGGTTTGCCTCTGACTGACCTTACACTGCAGTGTCAGCAAGTTGTTTCCTCTCTGGGCTGCAGTTTCCCCATCCCTGAGAAGAGCTGATCCTGTTTTCAAGTTGCTTTGACTCTCGGATGACAGTTTAAAAGAAGAGGCACAATCATCTGTCCAGTGCACATGTACAGGGAGGAGAAGCTGGAGATCTCATTCTCACAGCTGGCTAAGAAAACCAACTGTGTCGTTACAGCCCTTCCATGCACACTCACGACAAAAGATCTAAACCTTCCCAGCATGACAGAACTCCCTGCRCCACGAGTAAATCAGAGGGTGCAGATTTGATGGTTTTGACAGRATCCTGCTGGGGGAGTTCCTCAGCACTGCCAGCAAAGCTGGACCCTTGCCAGCTGTCAGAGGCTGTGGAAGCAGCCCCAGCCCAGCTGGAGCCGAGCAGAGCRTGGCAGAGCAGGGCTTTTCCTCTGCCACACTCAGCTCATCCCCCCAGGAGCATCCCCCTGTGCGACCCAGACATGGCACAAAGCCAGAACCCACATGAAAGAACAGCCTAAATCTTGTATCTGCCTCATCCAGGTGCATTTCTATACCCAGAACCTGCACAGCACAAGCATCCCCCTCAAAACAGCTGGCACACTCTGCTTCTCCTCACTCTGCCTAAACTCTCCATCAAAAGCAATGGAATCTGAATTAGGCTCCAAATTTTCAGTGAGAGCTTTTCATTCACTTCTAACTCAAAGGCACAGCCACGCTTGCAGCACAGCATAAGGGGTATTGGCCTTACATTCAATGGCCTATTAGTTTTGAAGAGAATTTCCCAGATGCAGCCAAAACCTCTGGTCTGGCCATTGCACATCAAATCCTGCAGTAGCACATGGAACAGCAGCAAATAAATCCACGGCTGAGAGCTCAAAGCTCAAGAGGCCCCTACAACCATGCCATTGTACAAACAAGCCCTGTAGTCCTGCAGGTAAATCAGGTGTGAAATGTGCAGTGGTTTGTCMCAGGCTGCTGGTGAGCTGGGGAATAAATCCCTGCAGGAGCCAGAGCCCCACTCCAAACCAGGGAAGGGATGCCAGGACAGCAGCACAAAGGTGTTGTACAGCACCAGCCGAGTCCAGCACAGCCTGGCTTCATCCTTCCCAACACTGGAAGGTGGGGAAAAGGACAAATTCGASTGTGGGGATGTGCAAATCCCCCTGGGCAGGCTGGCTGGGGTTTCAGCAGCAGCACGGCTCCAGTCGGCCCCACGTGTGAGAGCGAGAATCGCCACTGCGAGCTGGGATTTGGGTTTGATTTCCATCACTGGCTCTGGTTTCACTGACACACCAATGAATTAGCTGAACGCTGGAAGTCACATACAGTTAAAAGTCAGAGCCCCATGGGAAGCCCAGGCTAAGAAACAATGTCTCCTTTGACTGCAAAACCACAAGAAAACACAGACGGCAAAATTCAAATATAAAAGGAAAGTGGAACATACGTTTGTTATTGTAAAGYAGCTCCTGTGAGCTCCACTAACAACTCTGCAATTCCAGCTTCTTTTTAATAAGAAAAATAAAAAGAGGCAGTGAAAGTCACCACAGCTTTAAAAGTTAAAACCCAGGGGAGATTTGGGCTGGGTGTGCTGAACAGGAGCCCCTCTCTGTAGAGTTTTCCTGCTTTGGAGGTGGATGGGCTGGGGGTGCCCGTGCCCACCTCTGCCCTCACCTGAGCACTGGCGTTTTGTAGCCTGGTCTGCTACAAATTGGATGTTGTACCAAGCTGGGTCATGGATTTAACCTTCACCATCACAGCTCAGGTTTGTGTTTTGCCACCTCTGTCCCAATCACACCCACGAGCTCTCTGCACTCGAGCAGCCGCTGCCTTTCCTGCTGCACAGGCTCTTCCACAGCTTTGACTGCAGCTGCTGGGTACAAAAAAAAACAGCTTTAGGAAGGAAGAGCTGGGAACCAAACATGCCTCACCATCCTCAGCTCCCTCAGGACCACCTGCAGGATGGAGGGTGCACGGAAACTGCAGCTTTGTCCTTGCTGTTCTCAGCACCTTCACTTCTCACATCCACCTCACACCCCTAAAACCCGACTTTCTCTGCAACACAAGCTGTAAGTTCCATCTGGCCAGAGGTTTTCATTACCCATTCCCTTCCCCTGCCATGCCTGGAGTGCACCACTGGTGCAAAGCCTTGAGCACAAACTCTCGGGGCTTGACACGTGAAGAAGAGGAAGCAGCATCAGAAAGATAAACCACAAGATAAGGCTTGAAGGATATGAGAGCTGCTGCTCTGTAGCTTTAGAGCACCCAAAAGAAGAAATCTGCATGCAAAATGCGCKTTCCAAAAAAATAAATATTGCAGGACAACATCACGCTGCAAAAACCAGCCAAGATCRCTTCCGCCAGCAGGTTCAGCTGGGTAATTAGTCACGTGGAGGGTTAATTTAATGACTTTTTTTTAAAAATCAGATTTGTTTAAAAAGATATTATATTTTTAAAAAATGTTCTCTTTGCATCTGACAAGAACACAAAAGTTAAACTTCACTGAAGGGAAAGAAGGAGAAAAAAAAAACCCTTGAACCCAAAAAAAAAAAAGAAGGAAAGAAGGAGAAAAAAAAAACCCTTGAACCCAAATAACTTACGACATGAAAGCTTTGGATTTTACTGGCCTTCCCTAGTTTCAGATGTCATAAACCATACAGGTGCAACTATCTCATTGCTTGGCATCCATATGAACCTGGTTATGTTCAAGTGAACACAAATTTGACAAATACTCCCAGCTTTACAATAAACCTTCAGAAAGAAGCAGTCCAGATTTTCCCCAGATGCAGGCACAGCTGTGCAGAGGCACATCTGCTTGGGGAACTAATGTGGACATTTGAATTTATAGTTTTAGATCCTGAAGCTTGATGGCAAATTATGATAAAACTAGCAATATTGGTTCCTGCCTTCAACAGAAAATGTAAAACCCTCTTTGATTGATACTGATTGCAGGAAGGAAACAAATTGTATTTCCCCATGTCAAAAGGAACTCCTTCATTGCAATAAGGATCCTGTTGATAGCAATACCTTGGGAAGGTAAATGATATTGTAGTTGCAAGCAAACCGAGAAAAGAATGATTGGTATCATTTCTACATCTTAGGTAGCTTCAAACACACCACAGGAGGCTGTGGGCTTGTCAGACTCAAACCAAAAAACGTGCATTAYTGAGGTATGGCAAATGTGATTGCTATTTAATATTACCCCGCACCCTTTACTCAAATACCCAGCCCATACATGTAAATCCAGCTCAATCAAAGCAAACAAATTCATTGATTTAACAATTTATGGCTTGATTTTAAAAGGGGATGAGCCTGCGGGGGAATATTGAACATATGTTTGAAGTTAAGCATAAATCAACCCAGTGAAATTAGTGGTATTGATCACATGCTTGAAATTACACATAAATGTTAATGTTTTCCTGGTCCCTGCAAGGCCTGAGTGTGTCAGGACCATCTGCAGGATGCAGCCCAGCTCTGTTCAGTGAAGCTGGAGCTGTGCAGACCAGTCCAGCTCCCACACATCATTGTCAGCCCTCTGCCACTGACACAGCACAGCCCCGACCCCAGCCTGGCTTTGGCTTTCCTTCAGGAAACACGGCTGAGAACAGGGGAAATGAGGGAAATGACTGATGTGCCCCCACTCAGCCAGTATTTCATACCACCCTTTGAAAGGTGAAGGAAAAGCTGTTCACACTCCAAACAGAGGAAGGGTTCAGCTCATTCACCTCTCAGGTCAGCAAAGGGACACATTCGTTCTCCACCACTGGCAGCCTGAATTTTGCTTGCTGCTTCCAGCAGCRACTTCCCAGGCATCTCATGACAGAGTCAGAAGTGACAGATGATCACAAGAGGGTGAACAAAGCCCAGAAAAGGCAGCATTGCCCACGTGTCTGAGCTTTCAGAAGCCAATCCAAACCAACCTTCTGAAAGACCACAGCACAGCTCAGACCCTTTAAGCAAAGCTCACAGGGTGCTGCTCTTTTAGGGCCAAGCCTTTTAGGGATTAATTCACCCTGTAGGGTCCCCATTGTCTCACCTGCACCACGGGGTGGCCCCCGGTGGGTGCTTTGACGGCTCCACGGCTGCCCTCGGTCTCGTAGTGCGCGCGGTGGTGGGGCTTGGGCTGCACCTCGATCCGCAGCTCGTAGGAACCAGACTGGCTGGACAGGGGCCATTCCAGAGGGGGCAGAGACTGCACGGGCAAACTGGGGTGCAGAGAGAGAGAGAGAGAGAGAACACAGGAACTCCTGAGAACACCATTTCTCCAAGCCCTGATCCCTCCTTCCTCCCAGTGCCCCACTTGAAACATTCAGGGGTCTGCTATGAGTCCCCATGAGATGGTGCTGAACTGCTCACATTTGACTGCAAGTCTGCTGAGAAGACAGTCATTTCTGTGGGTCCATCTCCTTGCAGAAGAAAATGAGATATTTCTGTTTCTTAAACAGAAATATCTGCAGCAGTTACATTTTTTCAAACATCTCCCTCTTATCAGGCTTTTGCTGTGTGTCTCAAATTTGGATCACAGAATTGTGAAATATTAACTCCATTTACCATTACGTACCAGCTGTGTAAATTAACTATCCTCAGGATTTTCATAAATACTAAAATTTACATTGATAAAATGCTAAATGTTCTTACCTGATACTAGGTTTTCCTATTACGAGAACACATCAGGCTTTGTAACACGAAATGATTACACTGCCACGTGCAGCTAGAGCTTGCACTGGATTTTAAAACACTCTCACTGAGAGCACAGGCTGCTGCCAGGACCGGTCTGACAAGCCAAGGGAAGTCACAGCCTGTGTTCTCTCAGTCACAGTTCGTGTTTGGCAGGTCAGAACAGCCTGGGATGATGTCAGCACGGGGACAACCTYGTACCCAGTGGGATGGCACTGACAGGGTGCCAGCAGGGACTGGGAGTCACACACTTGGCACCCTCAGTCCTGGCAGACAGACGCCACAGGGCCAGACAATGGAGGGCTGAGATTTGGGTTAAGGGACAATTAACAAATTAACAAACAACACTACATCACCCGAGCTGACTGAATGCTCAGTCTGACATGGAGCAGCGAGCTCTGTTTTGAATGAGGCATTAACTTAAAGAATGTTCAGCCTTGATGGAAATTCATAAATGGCTTTACAAAAGTAATCCTGCCATTTTAAGAGCACCAGGATGACACCAAAGTGTCCAGCCTCTGTCAAACTGTCTGCAATCTGCTATTTAGACAAATCATTTGGGAATCTGAATTTGTAGCGTACTGTGCCATCAGTGAAGCACTTTGGTGCTGTTTCTTCAACATCCCAATTTTCTTCATCTCTAGAATCACAATGGACTGGGCTCCCCTTAACCAGTGCTGCCCCTGAGCACTGAGCTCTGCTCTGCMWTAKRATCTGCCCCAGGAAACACTCCCTARGGATCATCAGCCAYGRCAGAGGACAYCAGACATGGGAAACACACCCACAGGATGGATTACATACCTGCAGATGGGAATTGCAGGCAGCAGCTGCTTTGTCCAGGATGGAGGTACCAACAGAACCGATTCTGGCGCTGAGTTTCTCCTGTCCTCCTGCTCACAAGGCCCGTGRAAATCAACAGTCTGAAAGACGTGGCATGGAATGCTGTTTTTGTGGGAAGGCATGGATGAAGGATCAGGGCTGGTTTTCCAGATTTTGGTGGGAACACCGCAGGAAGGATCGGTGGGTAGGCTGCTCATAGCATCCATGGGAAGGGGAGCGCTGGCCAACTGCGCGTAAGTGACCGCTGAGGTGTCTTCTCTCAGGGGGATGCGAGGAGAGGGCTGTGGAGAGGGGCTCCTCGACTGCCGAGGAGAGGTGGAAGGCAGCTGAGTACTGCAGAGCTCAGTGCAAGAGTACCTCCGTTTGGCACCCGGTGACGAAGACCTTGAGTTGGGACAGGGTGATGGTGAATGGCGTCCCAAGCAGGTTTCCTCCGTGATGCTTGTTCGTGGTGACATTATTGGAGAGGTTCTAGGAGAATAATGAGTATGGATGTTTTGAAACTGCGGACAAAGGTCATCACTAGGACCATTATTTGGTGAAACACATGGTGATGTGCAAGGAGATACATTTGTCTCTGAAATGAAACTTGCAGAGGAGCCGCTACTAGCTGGGCTCAGACACAGTGGTTCTCTGTAGCCCTCAAAGCCAGGGACAGGCAGGGTAACCCTTGGGCTAGTGGTGGCTGAGTTTGCCTGATGTTCTACCAAAACATCTGTGTCTCTGCTGCGGAAGGGACCCCCCGAATGAATCAGTTCATGATATGGAGTTATTTCAATCCTAGGGCTCGGAGCAGAGGCCCCTGCAGCGTTGGCAGGGTGTGTAGGTGGTGGCCCTATGCTATCTGGCTGTCCATATCTGCCCATGGGATCTGCAGAAAGGCTAGGAAAAGGCARGGAGCATGGCTTGAGGCCACAGTCCACGACATCGTGAGCGTATGTAACTCCAGAGGGTGGGCTGTTGGTTTTATGTGGAGTCGGTTCTTCTGGAAAAAGAAGGGTCTCTTTAAGACTGTAAATATTGTTACAGAAGCTGAGCAATCATGGATTAAAAAAATGCATATTCATAAACTGCTTGTGATCTGCTATTAGCTTATTATTGAACCCTTTATACTGCAGTTAACGCTGTGAGAAGTGCTGGATTAAGAGCCAGGGAAGCTCGTGTGCTCGGGGCAGGTGCCAACACCTCCAGCCAGGCTCCAAACCAAAAAGTTTGGAAGAAACAACTTCTGGTGAAGGGAGAAGCACCTTCCTTACACAGCCAAGCCCAGCCAGGAAAGGCTTCATGAACCAAAGCTGAGCTCAAGATCTCCAAYTGAAAAGTCAAGTTCTGTGTGATGATTTGTTTGGCTCTGTACCATGATAGCAAATTTGGTGACAGGTTTCTATAAAGAGAGTGTGCCCAAATAYTTGTTAGAAAAGAGAGAGGGAGAAATAATCCAGCCCTGTGGTTAAGGGCAATCACATTCCAATTTCAGCCCAAGGAACATTTTAGCCAGAGAGGGATTATAAAACACACAATAATAAGTAAGTGTTCAGCAAAACCCTCTCTCCAGGTGCAAAAAAAATCCTCAATTTTCAGAGATTCCCAACAGATTTTGCAAACTATCCCCAGGTTGCAGAGCACAGCAATGCTTCCAGGGAGCACAGAATTCCCACCAGCATTGATAAGCCCAGTTCCAGTCTGGTCCCAGCACCCCAAGGGTGTGTGATGCCAGAAGAATATTTGCCATCACACAGCAACGTACAAAACATTACCAGGATTTGCGTACGTTTTTAAAGATTTCAATGTATCMAGCAGGAAATACCTGAAACAGCTCCACAATTTGGGATTAATTCACACTATCTGCTCACTCTGTGTACAGATCAGATATTTAAATTTCATTTCAATATTTAAATTACTCTTCTAACATTTTCTCTACCTCCTATATGACATGAGCCAGCAATTCCCATGAGAAAATATCACACAGAAAGCCAGGCAGGAGCTGACTGTGCTTTCTGCAAAAGCAGCAGAAGTTCCTAGTGAAACTTTTACATGCAGAGAGATTTTAACTTAATTTCAGGGGATTTCTGTTCATTTTTAGGAACTGCTGAGCCTTTGTGTTTAGTGGGAAAACCCGAGAGCCGAGCAAACAAACCAACACACAGAACGTCTGGGGCAGGAGGGGAGCAGCACACGACAGTCCAGYCTGCAAAATTCTTAAGGTTCCCCCTGGCTTTTAATCCCAGCACACAGCTGTTTTGGGGATAGGAAAACAGCAACGAGACGCTGAATTTGGAGCCAAACATATTTTTAGCGCCGTTGATTTCAGAGCTTTGGCACTCAGGAACAGTGTGTCATCCCCGTCACTCAGGTCTGACACATCAAGCCTCGGTATTGCTGCTGAGATTCCCTTTGAGCAGAACTCGTCATGAGTCCGGAATGAGCAGAGTAACACACCCCCAACAGATCCCAAACATCGCTCCCCGCTTTGGGGGAATCACCCCGACTCCAGCTGATGCAAGGGAGCAAAAGCAGCCCCCAGCAGAGCCAGGCTGGATGCCAGGGCTCAAGGCAGGATTTGGGCAGTGCCCAGCAAGAGCAGAAATCCTCTCCAGGTTGAACCAAGATGACAGRCGACCCTTTCAGTCCCCCTGCAGCCAAGGCTGCCCCAACACASYCGTTCAATGGGCTGAACTGTGCCASRTACAACAGGTACAGCMCCAAAACTCCTCAYAGCACRCCAAGCACAAAGCCACTGYGGGGAGGTTCATGGTCAGGGGTATGGGAAAAGCAAAGGTATTTGTAAATGCAAGTGTAATTTCTAAAGTCTGCTGAATAACAAACACACCCCCCACCCACAGCGCCCGCCCGTCAAAACCAGARCTTTTGACAGCCTACATTTCCTTTGCTTATCCCTGCAATGCTGTGTTTAAAAGAGAACTTTCGCCCTTGGCATYCCCGCTCCCGGAGGATCCACGTTCCAGCACTGAACAACAGCGTTTCCACCCAGAGCGAGCCCCAGCCTGCCCGACACAGCTCTGCAGCAAAGAGGGACAGCAGGCACGGCCCCTGGACACACGGACACACAGAGCTTCTATGGGGCAAAAACACTCAGTGCCCTGCAGCAAAGAGGGACAGTGGGCACGGCCCCTGGACACACACACACACAGAGCTTCTATGGGGCAAAAACACTCACTGCCCGCAGCAAAGGGATAGCACACCCGGACACAAACACTCAGGGCTTCTGTGGGGCAAAAACATTCACTGCCCCCGCAGCAAAAAGGGACAGCAGGCACGGCCCCATGCCACACACACACCCAGGGCTTCTATGGGGCAAAACCACTCCCTGCCCCGCAGCAAAGGGCCCGCGGGCACGGTGTACACCGAGCCCCGGCTGCTCCGAGCAGCCGGCGATGCGCAGGGCTCAGGCTGCCGTGCAGGGGACACGCTGCAGCCCTGACTCACGGGCACGGCTTGGGCACAGGCTTTGGGGAGCTGCAGGGGCACAATGAGATCCCTGTGGCGGCCCTGCTGCCCACGCTGGCGGTGTGTCTCCATGGCAGCCGGGGATGCTGCTCCGCCAGCGCTGACCTCACCGCGGAGCSCAGCGGGGCTGGAGCGGCCAGCGCTGCTCCCGGGAGCGAACGGCTCTGCCCTGGAAACCCGGAGAACACAGCTCTGCCGGCCCCCGGGGCTGTGCCGCCTTCAAGGGTTCATCCATCCCCAGAGCACACACTGCAGTGCTCCAGCAAAGGATCGTCCTCCCCACCGCTTTTCTGACGGACATCTCAGCAAACAGCAGCTCCGGCACTCCCCCCTCCCTGCACCCAGGCATTTCCCAGCCTGAGGTTGCACTGCTGATTCACCCTCTGATTCAGTACCAAAAGATCCTTCTACTTTGACGGGAGGTAAAAGAAAACACGTTTCTCACCCAGGCAGCACTGGCATCTCCTCATGCTCTCAGTCAGTTTTACCATCAGCAAACCTTCTCTGTGCCACCCAGCTCCCCTGCCCAGAGCAGTCTGACCCCCAAGCCTGTAGAATCCCACCCAAACTGCCAGCCCTCACTGCCCCTTTTTCACCCAGGTCTTACCCCATGACCGTCGCTGCTGCCCCAACAGAGATGAAGCAGGGTCTGCAAATTCCCCATAAATAGCTGGGAGCAGCCAGCCCCAACAACCCTCAGCTGGGCATAGTTAGGGATAACMCAACGAGCTGCATCACAGCTGAAAGACATCAAGTGATTTCTGTTTCACGGGACTTACATAGCCCTCGATGTAAACAACTCCTTTTCACACCTCTGAACGGCAGAAAGGAGAAGGGAAAGGCTCCCGAAGTTCCCCAAGCCCACAGCAGTGCGAGCACACGTGGCATGGCCAGGGCCACCCTCGGCTGTTTTAAAACAAGGCAGCTACTTCAAAGGCAGCCAGTCAGCCAAATGTGACCGTGCCAATTAGCATGAAATTAGGGAATAAAGGATCACCCAAGCGACTGCATTCCATGCTGGGTTTATCCAAACCATCCTCTAGGAAAAGCTAAAGATAGCCTGTGCAGGGCAGGGGCACAAGTTGGGTTTTGACCTCACATCCGCTGGCTGCAGCTCCCAGGGTTTAACTGGAGTTCCTCATTTGCATAAGCAAAAGAGTCGATTTTCTTTTTTAATTAACTTGCTTATTGTCATTTGAAGGGGCCAGTCCAGACCTTTTTTGCATTTCTCAAAAGCCACGCTGTCTGTTATTTACACTAGCGGCTTGGAAGCTCCAAGTGAGAGCTGGTTTCCTGAGTGAAATCTGGAATTCTCTGCTAGATGTGCATATTTGTTTCTTTAGGGCAGGGCTGAACACTGCCTCCTGTGTTCCTGAGCCAGCCCCAGGACCCAGCTGCATGCACTTTCAGTTTTTTTCCTTTTAATGGCTTTGCATCTGGGAGAAGAAAAAAAAAAGAACGAGGGAAATTATTCAGGGCTTGACACCTACAAGACGTGGCAGTGTCCCTGGGAGCCTGTCTACATACAAACAAGCATTTAGAGGAATATTAATATTTATGGATGCTCCCTGCTTCCCCTCTCTACACTGCACACACACAGACCTTGTAGATTCRTATCACCAGATGCAATCTAAGAGTCTAATGAGCTCCTGCAAGGGCTTGAGCTGAGAGAAAATACCCTTTCCCATCTGCATTCTCACCTCTTGTCTCAGGGCAGGACTTTGTTTGGAATCTCATTCAAATATAGGGTTTGTTGGGATTTTCAAAATGACCCTCAGAGGATCAACTCCCAGAAGGGCTGACCTCAAACACTGAAAATTCTGTGGCGGCTTTAGCTCCCATCTGATCATCACACAGTGAACACCCAACAGATCTGCATGAAAGGAGCTGCTGGAGCAGAGCTACTGGATTTTGGTATTTTGTTTCTCTGAGTAGCCAACAACAGGTATTTGGGAAGAACACACACAGCAGTTCTCAGAATTTATTCTTCTGGAAGTGCTGTGTGTGGGAGCTCATTTGGCAATGCTCATTAACCCTCTGTCAATCTTCTCCACTAAGAAACACTACCTTACTTTAAAATAAACTAAAAACTGGGAAACCACTAGCAACACCTGCGCAGGAAACTCCCCAGGGACTGCATTAAACACTTTTGGCCAAGTGAAATCACAGYTTCAGCCCTGGCAGCACAGGGCACTCCCCAAATCCTGCTCACCTGGGCACACCCCCAGTTCAGCAGGTGTTTCTTGTTCRCAGCTCCTGAGGAGAATATTCCTAATTAAAGTCTGGCAAGTCAAGGTAAAAAAACACTCTGCTGCTTTTGGAAATGGCTGGCTTCSAGAGGAATATCCAATATTAATAATATTGACTGTAGGAGTTTTATTTACCCTTCTTTTCCCTGTTGCTTTCACAGCAGTCCTGTTCCTGTTGTCCCAGGCACACACAAGCACTACTGAACGCCAGCCACTTTCAGGAAGGATATTTCTGGCATTCCCATGACAACAAGTTGGGAGATAGGTCCTACTTTTAAAACACAAGCTTGGATGCATACTGCCAAATCCCAACCTTTTCAAAAATTGTTTATCAAGCATAAATTTCCACCCCAATCTATTCCTGGAGCCCCAAATTCACATTCTTCCCCTATTCTTCTTTGAATTTAAAAGTCCTTTTTGGCATGCTTAGAGAAGTGTTATTTTAGGACTTGTCACGAGCAGTGGGTGGAGCAGACCAGACTGGGAGGACTCCAAATGCAGGAACCAGACTGAAGTGCTGGGATCCCCTCCTTTGGTTTTGGTTCCACTTTGAATGCTCCTCTGCACAGGATTTGTTTGCCCAACTGCAGTTCAGAAGAGGCCAGAACAGCACATGAACAATGAGCACCAGTTACCAGCAGCATGTGCACAAAGCCCTTCCTCAGAATCTGAACATTTTCTGTTCTCATGTAAACATGCTTTAATCTTTTGTACATTGAAGGTCACGGATGTATCCTGGATTGCTTACAGACTGGAGCTGGTGCCTTTTCAAAGCCAGCAAGAATGGTCTCCAGATTACAATGCTCATATATATGGTTGTGATCTTTTATCTTTTTCTTTTTTTTTATGCTAATGATTTCCATCTTTGGAACAAAATTACTACTAATTATGGTTTCCAGCCATTCAAATGTGCAGAAAGCAGGCTCAAGAAGGAAGTTACTTCTACAACAAGCATACACTGCTGTGCATTTATGTGGTTTGAAGATTAAACTTTCTACCCCCCACCTACGTACTGTTATATTCTGTAGAACTTCCCACTTAAGGCTTCACAGCAGCACTGTCTACTGYAAAGCTGTGAACCAGCAACTGAAGCTTTCACTGAGATGCAATGCATTTTCTTTAAAACCACTGACCTCTCCCCTTCGGGGATTTACTTTAGCATGGCTTAATCTACATGAAACTTTGAAAGAAYATTCAGCTTTGTCCACCCGATGACATTAATCATCCTCAGTCACTTCTGATGCTGGCACACATCTGTTCATTTAAACAAGGACAGAAAGAATAAAACTCAGCAGCCACTCTCCGTGTCACCAATGACACCACGGTTCAGGCCAAGGTCTCCTCCTGCACTGCCTCCCAGGACACATCATCTCTCTGAACTGCCCTAGGGAAACAGCAGCTCTCTGCTGTGCAGAATCAAAACAGTGTCTTAGAGACAACAGCCCAACAATTCACTCCTCTGGGTCCTCTCCTTTGGCTTTGTCTGGTTTACACAACTCTATTTTACACGAAGTGTCCCTGTTTAGCACCATCAACAGACAGAATTACCATCTAGAAACTGACCGAACACTTGTCACTGTACTCTCAAGTATCGCAGCATAAGCTCAGGAAAGCAGAACAGTCTGCAGATCTTTCTTTTTCTATCATTTTTAACTGACGCTTCTGTTGTTTGTCCCCAGGCTGGCAGCAGCCGTGCCCCGCTCGCTGCCATCCCCGCAGTTTGGTCTGGCTCAGGGCAGGCACAGCTCCTCGGGCTCCACGCCCCGGTGCCCCCGCTGCCTCTGAGCTTCCACAACAAGCTCCACACGATGCTGACGGGCAGCAAGCACCGATGGAGCTGAGCTGTGCTCCCTCCCTTCGCCTTTCGGGAGGCTGCACACCTTTGGGACGGCAGCGATGTCCCGCAGCCGCTCGGGGACACTCCATCCCGGGATGGAGACCGAGCCGCTCGCCCGCAGTGCCCTCGGCAAGCACCTGCCGGCAAAACAGCCCCAAAACGGCCGGGCTGGCCGCGGGCAGTGCCCGCCGTGCCCCGAGGAGCTGTCCGGGGGCCCCGCCGCTCCTCCGGGACGGCTCCTCACCAACCTTCGATCGGCTTCAGGTAGTCGTAGTCGAAGAGGATGGAGAAGTCAAACTCCTCCTGCGGGCTGGCCGGGCGGGCCGTGTCGGGGCCGTGCCCGGGGCCGGGACCCCTCTCCTGTGGGCCGGGGCCGTGCCCGGGGCCGTGTCCGGGACCCCTCTCCTGTGGGCCGTGCCCGGGGCTCCTCTCCTGTGGGCCGGGGCCGTGCCCGGGGCCGTGCCCGGAGCTCCTCTCCTGCGGGCCGGGGCCGGGGCCGTGTCCGGGACCCCTCTCCTGTGGGCCGGGGCCGTGCCCGGGGCCGTGTCCGGAACCCCTCTCCTGTGGGCCGGGGCCGGGGCCGGGCGCGGGGCCCGCGGCGCTCATGGCGGCGGAGGAGCCGGGGGTGCCCCTGGTGCCGCGCCCCGCCGGTGCCTCCTCCCGACGGCGAGCGCCGAGCGCTCGGAGAGCAGGGAGAACGGAGGGAATAAAGCGAGCAAAGCCCGCAGACGGCCCGGAGCGGAGCGGAGCGGAGGGCGCGGTGCCCCCGGCGGCGGTGGCAGTGGCAGCACACGAGGGGCCGAGCGCAGCCGGGCCGCTTCCTGCTCCTCACAGCCACCTGCGCCGGGGCCGCCCCCGGGGAGGAGCCGCCAGGGCCGGGCCGCACCGGGGACAGCGGGGACAGCACGGGGACAGCGGGGACAGCACGGGGACAGCGGGGACAGCACGGGGACAGCGGGGCTGGCAGCGCCCGGGATAACGGGCCCGCCCGGCCATGGATGGGAGCGTCCCGCAGCCGCCCCTCCGGGCGAGCCTCTCCGCCCTGTGTGCCCCGCGCTGGGCATGAGCGGCTGTCTGCATGAAACCGCCTCCTCCGCGGCCGTGCAGCCTCTCTGTGCCGATATTCCCGGTGTGCCCAGCCTTTCAGCCCCTCTGTGCCGATGTTCGCGGTGTCCCCAGCCTTGTGGCCCCTCTTGTGCCGATATTCCCGGTGTGCCCAGCCTTTCAGCCCTTCTGTGCCGATGTTCCCTGGTTCCCCGTCCTTTCAGCCCCTCTGTGCTGATGTTCCCGGGTTCCCCGTCCTTTCAGCCCCTCTGTGCTGATATTCCCGGGTTCCCCGTCCTTTCAGCCCGTCTGTGCCTATGTTCCTGGTTCCCCAGCCTTTCAGCCCCTCTGTGCCGATATTCCCGGGTTCCCCGTCCTTTCAGCCCCTCTGTGCTGATGTTCGCAGTGTCCCCAGCCTTTCAGCCCCTCTGTGCCGATATTCCCGGGTTCCCCAGCCTTTCAGCCCCTATGTGCCGATGTTCCCGGTGTCCCCAGCCTTTCAGCCCCTATGTGCCGATGTTCCCGGTGTCCCCAGCCTTTCAGCCCCTATGTGCCGATGTTCCCGGTGTCCCCAGCCTTTCAGCCCCTCTGTGCTGATGTTCGCAGTGTCCCCAGCCTTTCAGCCCCTCTGTACTGATGTTCGCGGTGTCGCAGCTCCCGCGGGTGCTGCCCTTGTCTCCTCCCGGTCTCGCCCCTCCCGCCGCCGGTTCTCCCGCTCCCCCGGAGGCTGCGGCACCCAGAGCACCTTCCCTGTGCTGGGGCAGCTCCAGAGGCCTCGGTCCATCGGGACAAGGTCTCTGTTCTCCTCCCGCCTTGCTCACAAACCGCTTTTCAGAGGATGGGCGCTCGCCACGTTCCCTGCTGACCGCAGCCGGGGGGTGCCAGCTTCCCCAGGTCCCCTCGGCCACCTCCACCACATTGAATCCATTCATCCCCCGTTCCCCCCGCCCTGCACACCCGCTGTCACTGCCCTGCGATGTCCTATCCCTACAAGCAGCAGTGACTTCACTCGTGGGGAACTGGAGACCCGGAGTTTGTGTGTTCAGAGCATCTGTGGTCACAGGGCTGTTCCCTGMATTACCTGTTTGTATGGTGCCCTTTGTGAGTGTGCAGATGGCTGTCATCGGCTCTGTGAGTTTGAAAAATGCTCCTGGCCTGTAGACAGGGCAGGAAGGCAAAGGCAGAGGGACCGAGATCATTAAAAAAGTATTTTGGTATTTACTTCAGCTTGTTTTTATTTGCTAAGCCTGTCAGCACGACTGCATTAACTGCAAGACAAATCTGACCCTACATTACTTGTCCACGGTCACAGAGAGTCTGTTTTAGAGCACACATGACCCAGAATYGCTGCATTTGGGCTTATAACCATTCTCAACAATGTGTTCAGCCAAGTAAAGACAAACTGCCTTCTCATCACACCCTTTTGCTCCATCCTTTGCTAGTCCAGAGGACAAGAACGCAGACTTTCCCGACAGTTTGGTTCTACTCTGAGTTCCTGAAGAAGCCCCGTAGTGACTGGTCACCCTCCAGCTCCTGAGTGGCATCAGGGGCACCTCGGGGTGAGCAGAAACACCACCCAGGCTGGGCTGAAAGGGCAGAGAGGGAGCAGCCAAAGCTGCTGTGAAGCTGATCGGGCCGGGTGGGCAACAGTCCCACTGCAGTCAGAGCTTGTGGCATTAAAYTGGAGCTGGAAAGTGCCAAGGGATAGGGAAACGTGACTGTCAGAAAGGGCAGGTTGGTGTTCTCTGAGGTATTTACAGAGGCTGCCAACCCCTTGGGGAGCCCATGCTGCTCTCCCTGAGGGTCTGATTTGTTCTGAATCGTTTAAACAGCTATTAAATTGGATTATTTATATCTGTTGTCCAGTGATCCTTACCATTTGCTGAGCGCTAGCCTTTTATCGTTGGCCCTTCTCTTTAAAATTCATTAGAAAAACAAAATATACTTGCTGATCTTGGCTCAGCACTAAAGAGAGCTGTCATCCTTGCAGCTAACACCGCGTGGAGCACAATTGGAGAGCATCAATTGTATTAACCACAGAAAGAAACGGCACAAACAATAACATTGGGCTTTTTWAGTGAGATATGGTGATTGGCACGAGGGCACGGGGAGACGACCTCGACTTCTGCTAAATCTCTGTCCTATCCTCYACTCCCTGGCTTGCCTGCAATCCATTAGGCATGTGAAGTTTCAAACTTATCCTCAGCTACTCCTAGAATTAGTAATACTCCACAAATGGAAAATGTACCTTTTGCTTTCCAAGAGGACCGTGTCATGCCAAAGAGTTTCACTGCTAACACACGTCATCATCGATTCTGACACTGGCCAGGAATTAGGGTGACAAGACAGCAATGAGAAAAGTGTTAGAGAAACGGAGGAATTAGTTCAGCTTATAGGATTCGAGTTTTATGCCCAGCAGACAGCTTGAGAGATGTCAAGGAGCAATAGCCACCAGGCATTAATGGAGTGTGTCCCTCCTGCAGCTCTCGGGGCACATCAGGACAGCGGTCCCATATGATCACCACCCATAACCTACAGGAATAAGAGTTTCCACGTGCTCTGAGCGCACAGGGATGTGAGCTCTAACACTCTGTGGGCTGGGTTTGAACATACCAATGTGTCACTTGGAGCAGAAATGTCACAAATGAACAAAATGGCCTAAATATTAGAGGGGTGTGCAGCCATTCCTCGGCGCAGGCAGCTGCAGAGCTCAGCTCAAGTGACAGCTGTAGCTTCTGGAGCCTTCCAAAGCTGAGTGCAGTTTAGTTTAGACCCAAAACTGGCTCTTGAGCTCACAATGAAAATAAAACATTATAAATTGTTTAAGTTTTAGCTGTTAATAACTACATAACTGACAAATACTGCCCACGTCTGTCATTAATAATTAGTGATGAAGAAAAGGCAGGGAAGTTACTCAACTTAAATAGACTGTGGGCTCTTCAGCCCAACAGATACACTCAGAAACATCTTCCAAATCAAAGAAAAAACCCAAACAACATGACAAACACTTCCCAAAGCTTGATTTCCWTTAGGGCTGGAGTGAAAGGCTGGAATACAGTGTCCAAAGAGCAGAAATACTAGTTAGTTTTCCTTAAATCTCAATCTTCCTCATATCAGACCCTTCCCTTCTCCAAGGAGCTCTGCTTGGGCTCTCAGCACCCACACTGGAGATCTGGGAGTCAGCATTAACTCCGGGTTTTGTTTTTTGTTTTTTTTCTGTAAAGCTGTTTTCACGAGCCAAAAAGGTGTTTCAAAAACTGAAGCAAAAAGTCTGTCCTTGGCAGCATTAACAAAAATTGCAGCCACGTATACTTGCAGCAGGCTCCACGCAGAGCAGAACTGGCAATACATTGTGCTGCCATTTCAGGGAACTGCAGCATGGAAGGAGTCCTTTTCCACATAGTTGGATCTGTGCTGGCCTTTGGCAGGGCTGTGCCTTAATAAACTTTAGAAGTATGTGAGTGCTGGATTACCTGGGTACTGGGGGACGGGGAATCCAAACACAAAGCTGCAAAGAGCACTTCCAGTGTAATACAAACTGGGATTTAGAAAGTACTTAACCTATTTCTCAGTGTTTAAATGCACTGCCAATGTAACTTCTCCTTTACTATTTTCAGTTTCTACTTATACTGCCCCACTGTATTCCCTGAACCAATAACTTCACTAATGCAAGGGATCAGAGGATGCTCCGAGATGAAGAAATTTCATTTGATCTCCTAAATTGAGTTCCTGTGCTAATTATTATTTGTCCCACATGACGCATAATTTACACTGGATCTGTAATACTGCAATACCTTCACATTAAACTTTTTAAAGAAAAAGAGGTAGAGAAAAGTGGATTAAGAAAGCTGCATGTCTATTTAGCTGCTAAAACCCAAAGAAAATATGAGTCAATGCTGTCTTAAAAATCTAAGTGTTCTAATGGTGTATGTGGCAGGCATTAGAAATTTAACAGGCAACTAAAACTTGCACATGGACTTAATCCAAGCTCTTTAAAATGAGCTCAGACTGTGAGTGACTGGTTGCTTGGTCTGGAGTGTGGGGAGTGTTATTAGAGAAAAAAAAAGGAGAGAGAAAGGAGAAATATCTGGTAGTTCCCTTGAGAGGCACRCATGCACACACTCTACTTTTCAATTTTGGGGTCAGGTTGAGTCAGAGATATTACCCCCCAATTTCAAGCTTAAAGCGGTTTGGCAAGAAAGGACAATGGAAAAATTGCTCMTATCTCCACATTCCCATTAAGTTCTGAAGTCTGCTGGGCAAACCAAAGGAATGCACATATCATAGTTTTTAAAAAAATAGATTAAGCCAGTAGTGGAAAAGAAGTTCTAGGATATTATTATCCTTGGCTCTTTTTTAAAAAAATGAATGATGAAATTTCACTTAGAATATCTTTTGGAATATTATAAAAGAGTGCTCCGGTTATGTCAGTGTCCCATCTGTGAATGTGATTCCTGCCCTGCCCGAAAGACTCAGAAATCCTTTGCTGGCTGTAGCTGGTGTAACTGTGTCCCACAGGACAGGCTGACTGGGAGAAAGGTCCAGTGACAGGGAAGTGACAGCTGTGGGGACACAGGATGGCACAGGGTGGCACAGGRTGGCACRGGGACCCWGCTCACCTGGGGAACAGCTCTGCCCTGGCTGCAGCACGGCTCGGGGAGCAGAACTGCCAAAGCAGCTTTTTGCTAGCAGGGTGTTTGTGCAGAGCCTTCATTCCTCRCTCTAATCATAAAAGGGGATGAGGGCTTAAAATTATTAACACATCATCATTTACACACCCCGCATT